GCAGAATATAACAAAGGCTAACATTAAACCAGATTAAATTTTAATTCCAAACTCAACTGAACCAAAAATTTACAATATGTATTTTGGAGAAGAAGTGGGGCAAAGGCTACCTTCATGTGACACAAATAGAGAAGTGGCAGAATGCCCAGATATGCAGAATTTTTTTTTAAAAAAAATAAGATCTTCAGGTCATCCTTTACTTCTGATGACTTGGCAGACGTGTCCAAATAAGTCTTCTTGGGAACAGTATGGAAGTGGTTTGACCCTGTCTTCTTCTGGGATGGATTTTTGCCATCTCACATTAGTTTGTAGCCTTGGGACTTCCTGATTATCTCCTATCCAAATCGGAGCCTAGCACTTTGAGATCAACCAAAGCTGGCTGGATGGTGCTTAGCTGTGCTTCAAGTATTGTAACTATTGCAGAGAACACTGGAAATTTGGTTACTCTAAAGGGACCAAGAGATAAAACTAGGGCGAAGCTCAATTTTGGAAAGTAAGACTACTTTCTGTTTATTTACAGGCTCTTGACCTGCCCTTCAAAACATGATGTTTCCTGTGATGGCTCATAAAGAACAATAAATTTAAAGCATCACCATGTGGATACGGCTGAAGGTTTACCAGAATGCTAAAGATTATACAAAACAAAAATGGAAGAATTCTTTTATTACCCCAAATATCTAGTTTGTATTTTTTAGAGGCTTAAAACCCAATTTTTATACGAGATATTTTCATTGCTAATCAGGGACCGTGAGTAAAAAATTCTCCTGGCACTTTGGAGAAAAATCACAAAGAGGAGAACTCACCACAAGCTGTGTTCTTTCTTGAAAAAGAACACTCCGTTAGCTCTGCTCATTAAAAGATTCCAAGGGCAGGTGAAGGTTTTCATATGAAGACTTCATGGTGAAGCAAAGATTAAAAATCCAGAAATTTAGAGACCTCCATCTTCCTTTAGGGGATAAAATAGCTAAAGTAACTACTTTAAACAAACTCCTTTAAACTGAAAAGACAAGTTATTAGAATTAAGCCTAGACAATTGTGTTCTTACCTAATATTATCCTCAAGATCTTCATAGATCAAGGTTTTGAATAAGTCTTTTCAAGATCAAATGGAACATCTTCCAGCTATACAACACAACTAAAATTTATAATCCATTTATCCTGAGAAGCTTCTAGGTAGGTATTGCATTATCAGTTTTCTATATAACAATTTGTTGATTCAACAAGTATTTTTATTTTAAGTGGTTGTACCCCCAAAAATTCAATGTCAAAGACTTATTAAAGCTTATATCATAATGTAGTTACTCTTTAAGCTGCCGTAGGCTTCTGTGGGCTTTGTTGCCTTTGATATTTTTCAAGAAAAAAAGACAATTCTGTGTAACTAGCTGTCATTTTTATCTCTTCAAACTGAGACTTTATTTACAGGACTGGTGGGATCATTCCACTTCCTTGCTTTGAATCTCCATCACATAAGCTTATGAAATAGAAAATGAAAATCAGATCAAATCAAAACTTTTATTATGCCCTTTGGGTCAGAGAACCCTACAATAAAAGTACATAAACCTCAAGACATTTAAATTCTTTACTAATATATACGAATTGAAAGCACCTACAATGCTTCAGTGCATCCCATACCTGGGGATAATTTGCTTGTTGATGGTTTAGATGTAAGCTTTATGGTTCGCAGAATTTAAAGCTTTTTTCTTCCAGTGGGTGTTGTTACTGTACAAATAAAATGTGGGTCAGCCAAATTGGAACAATGAATTAGGAGTTCCTCGAGTTTCATCCCTTTCAAACTCCTACTTGACCGAAGAGTTGCAGCTGCAGAATCAGGCCTCACATTCCTTAAAACAACATGTCAGTTGTGGGAATAGGCGTTCCTGTCTCTTGTCTCTACCCCAATCAGTCCCTTGCTAATGAGGTGATTCATCTCCGCGGGAGTGTCCCACTGATGTAGCTGAAGTAACATCCATGGTATTGGAGAACAGGGATTAACAATGAACCCACCTCACTGTGGGAACACACACTTCCACGTTCATCTCACTTAGCTAGCAAATATTTCGAAGGCTGTTATTCCGGTGCTAGACACTCCCGTTAATTTTGATCAAAACCTTTTGCCCTACCTACAGCAATTTCATGCCAGTTTAGAAGGGTTGGTACCACTTTGTAATGTTTTAACACATTTGCAATATTGCATCCAATATTTTGGTTGCCACTATATAAAAAAGATGTTGGGACTCCATAAAGAGTGCAGAGAAGAGCAACAAAGATGATTAGGGGACTGGAGGCTAAAATATACGGAGAACATTTGCAGAAATTGGATATGTCTAGTTTAAGGAAAAGAAGGCCTAGGGGTGATATGATAGCAGTCTTCCAATATTTGAGGGGCTGTCTCAAAAAAGAGGGGGTCCACCTTATTCTCCAAAGCACCTGAAGGCAGAACAAGAAGCAACGGATGGAAACAAATCAAGGAGGACCAACATAGAAATAAGGAGAAATTTCCTGAATTAGAACAATGAATCAGTGGAACAGCTTGCCTTCAGAGGTTGTCCATGCTCCATCCCTGGAGATCTTCAAGGAGATTGCACATCCACTTGTCTGAAATGGTGTAGGGTCTCCTGATCGAGCAGGGACTTGAAGACCTACAAGGTCCCTTCCAACTCCGTTATGCTGGTTAGGAATTCTAGGAGTTGGAAGTCCACAAGTCTTATAGTTGCAAAGTTTAGACACCAAGGTTTGAACCATTGAAAGTTGAAGAACTGCCAGTTTAAAGGCAAACAGACCTGGATCTGCCAGAGAGAGGCAAAATGGTGATGGCAAGATTTAAATTTGTAAGGTGGAAAATTAAATGGATGCTCTCCTCCTTCGCACTTTTCCTTTCGGCGGCCTTCAAACCCAGAGATTTTATTCACAATCCATGCTAATTTTTTTTTAAATCCTGTCTTATTAAACATACAGCTAGGGAAAGTTACATGTGTTTTTCCATTTTGGGGGCAGCTCTTGGTTCTTCTTTTTATTTGAGACATCTATGGATTGGTTAGAAGCATGAGAAGGACCCAGAAACAAACTAGGGAGTCGTTGTTAATCAGATAATGTATAAACTCAGATTTGGAGAAGGCAGGCTAGTTTACTTCTCTACCATCACAGAGTGAGCTTGTCAGAAAAGTGACTTAAGAAGGTTCTGCTAACCTGATTCTTTGGTAATGTTGTTTAACACACCAGACATATGACACAGCACTTTCACAATTTGGATTATCTTGAAAGCATGACATAAAATACATACCTGAAGACCATCTTCGTGGGGAATAGGATAATGCCAACAGTAACAAGATGCAAAATCTGTGAATAATTTTCTTTTTATACTGAAATGAAAAATTAATGCTGCTGACATGAAATACACTTGTTGTATACTTGTTATTTTCTTTGTATATTGCCATGAGATGGTCTTGCCAACCACCGGGAGGTGATAGAGTGCCATAAAAACCACTCAATTTGTTGAAAATTCACAAAGTTTAGGTCAAGTGAAAAAAAGAAACCCCTCCATGCCCACAAACTAATTAAAGGCTATGCTAAAGCCAAAGAATTAACAAAGAACCTGCAGTTACTTTCTAAGACAAACCAAAATCCTGATTGGATAATGATAGTGTTGCTCTCAGATTCATAACTTTTGCAATAATCATGAGAAAAATCCCTTCACTATGGGAAACTACATTAAACTGGAGCAGTTGGGAACCACCCATCTCAAGTTCATTTCTATAGATGTAATAACAATTGTTAGAATCGCATGAATCCAGAGTTTTTTGACTGGATGCTTCCTTGAAATCCAGCACCTTTGGCTAAATATATACTAGCTTGTTGCTGTCAGTTCAAAAAAAAAAAAAAAAACCACTTTGTGGATTAAAAAAATGACTGAGGAATTACTGATTTGTTCTTGACAACTTACAACCGTTCGTTTAGTGACCGTTCAAGTTACAACAGCACTGGAAAAACTGACTTGCGACCGGTTTTTCACATGACAGCTTCAGCATCCCCATGGTCACGTGATCAAAATTTAGACTCTTGGCAACTGACGCGTATTTATGACGGTTGCAGTGTCCCGAGGTCATGTGATCCCCTTTTGTGACCTTCACACCAGCAAAGTCAATGGGGAGGGCAGATTTACTTTACAAACGTGTTACTAACTTAACTGCAGTGATTCACTTAACAGTGGCAAGAAAAGTCATAAAATGAGGCAAAACTCACTTAACAACTGTCTTGCTTAGCAACAGAAATTTTGGGCTCAGTTGTGGTCATAAGTCAAGGAGTACCTGTGTTCTTACTTAAATGGAAATAGTCAGCGCAGTCCCCGTCTCTCATGCAGGATGGGAACAAAGCTCCTACAAATGATAAGCAAGTCCCAGCCTACTTTGGTGCTACCTGCCAGATAAATCTTTCTGTAAAACCAGCTGCTTCAAATTGGCAGATTTTCTCAGCGTTGGGAGATGGAAAGTTCACAAACACAGTAGAGGGAAATTTGCAGAAGAGTCAGCTGTCTCCATCTTGTGGACAGCGATAGTAACCCCGTTACTTGGCTGCAGTGCTGATCTCTATGCAATGATTGTGACGCTTTTCAGTTGTCTATAGCAGGGGTCCCCAACCCCTGGTCTGTGGACTGGTACAGGGCTGCAGCATGCCAACAACCGGTCCGCACAAACAAGCAAAGCCTCATCTGTGGGATGCAGGCAGCACGCAAACCCATCCCTCTCCGGTCCGCGGAAAAACTTTTCTCCATGGAACCGGTCTCTGGTATCCAAAAGGTTGGGGACCTCTGGTCTATAGGTATCATTTGTTTTCATGGTTTTGATTACTGTGATATTGTTTGCCACCCTGAATCGATCCGATTAAGATGGACGGCTATAGAAATTGAGTCTGTCTGTTTGTCTACCTAAAAAAAGAAGTAATAAGTCACCAAAAAAAGAGATGCTGTCAGCTTTCGGGGGGGGGGGGAGGTTGACAGTTGCTACGTTTGGCCCACGAAGTATTTGCTTTATTTTTATATAAATAAAATGTAAAAATGACATTGGACCGCACACTAATCTTGAGTGTAAAAATAGATTAGTTCCCTGCAACACAATTCAATATTATCCCGCGCCATATAAAGGAAAACACACACACACACCAACACATACATACAGAGAGGCAAAACTACAACAATAAAGCCAGCTATCTAAGAGGCTGAACTCACACGTAGGTATTCATAACTAGACTGTTAATGTAACAGCCCAAATACAAAAGAAATAAACAAAAACACTCATAACACCATCACAACAGGCTTTCTCCACACCTTTCATTTAAATATATTTAAGTATCTCTTCTCGGAGAGTTTTCCGATGTTGAGGACTAATCAAAGTTGATCTGTGGGCTGTCAAAGCCACTGTCTTGTTGACAATCCATCACCCTGTGTATATGTCTCCTTGATTGTAGCGAATGATAGTTTTTTCCTGCTGCAGAACACAGCACAGCGTTGTTCGGATGGGCCCTAGCAGGACCTACGGCGTCCAAGTGTGCAAACTTGGGAATACAACTTGAACTCACAGTCAGTTGGCTTTCAGTGCAGTTTATGTTTTGATTCTTGGCAAGTTCCTTCTCGTTACGTCCGCCCAGACGCTGTGAGAAACCAGAAGCCTCTTCTTTGACCTGGGAACGGGTGTTGGTCGTGGGAAGCGCTGAATGGGAGTCTAGAGCCCCCCTGGAATATATTTTTTGACCAGGATGCTGAAAGCCGCCGCTACTGTTCACGTGAAGAGCTTCACTTAATAAGCTCCAGTCAGCAGAAGACTCTTCATCTCTTACTGGGGTTTCTTGAACTTCAAAGCCTGGGGTTCCCCCAGATTTTGCCTTCCACTGTCTAGTAGTCTGGCTACCAACCTCCGTTATTCTTGGCCTTTCGCTTAGGCACTTATACTTTTCGCCAGCGGTTCCAAAGTCAGAACCATCCCCGGCGGCGGGATGAAGACTTTGAAGCTTTCCTTGAGACGCGTAAGAGGAAGCATTCTGGAATGTTCCCACCCTACACGGTAGATCTTTGTTTCCCAGTTCTTCCTTGCTGAAAGCTTCTGCAGGGGCGGCACCAACTGAAGACTCGTCCAGTTGCTTAAAAGCTTTCCTGACCATCTGCGTTTGAGAAACTAGGCGCGACTCGCTCGCGGCATCAAGCTGTGGCTGCAAGCTACGAGGTGTGTGTTTTTTGCCCGTGTTTTCATCATGGGTTTGATTTTCCTTTGGGGTTGACTTAGAATGTTGTGTGTAACTCGCTTTAGATTCTTCAGCTTTGGAGCTTTGGGGTAGGACTGTAAGGCGACACGGAAAGCAAAAAGAAATTAAAACAGGCACATCCAAACTCCCTACAAATGAACTCAACATCCTCTAGGTGGTAAACATTACGTTCTCTCCTTATTAAAAAAAAAAAAAAGATGGCATGCCTGAACATTAGACATGGCAGTTTACCTGAGTGTGGGGTTTTATTTAGTGCTGAGTTCCGAACAGGAGTTTCTAATATTTTAGCCATTGTAGCAATCTTGCCAGCAGCGCAAATTATCTTCTTTTCAGCCCTGCAAAAGTAACACAATTTTTTTAAAAAAAATCTTTAAAAAGCCTATCTAGTCAACTAAGAATCCAAGCAAGAAAAGAAACTTTTGAACTTGCTTAAAATTTTGAAGAAAAAATTATTTTGGCTATACAGAGCTCCTTTTTAGCTTTATAGCCATTCAATTTTAGGGAATTTGTGACATGCTGGATGAACCCACGTGTCTGTATGAGGCAGAGAGAATGAACAAATAAATGAATATAAGAAGATTCTATCTGTTATCTTCTATGAAAAAAATAACAGATCTCTTTTCTTTTTCTGTCTCTGCAGTTCACCTGAAATTGTTGTATACGCTATACAAACAGAGCAATATAAACCAGGAAATCACACACACACAAAAAAACCCCAATCCACAAAAACACCTTGAGGTTTCCTATCCAAGGACTTTGCTGAGAGTTCTCTTCCCATCTAACATCATTTGAAATGCCTCACCCTTCGTGCTTGCCGTTATCCACCAGAAGCTGTTGAAGACAAATAAGATAATATTTGCGCATTTTTCGGGCAGTCTCCTGCCGTTCCCTTAAAACTTCAGCTTTTATAATTTCTGCTGCTCTCTCCTTACTTTCATGGATGTAACGAAGCATGTCACCTACGAACAAACAACACCAATTTATATTTAGTGAGGCACATAAACCATAGATTCGCAGTGGACAACGTTCACTGTATCTGTATAGTATTGATTTATACAAAGAATAAGGAACTGTACCGAAGTTCCTTATTCTTTGGTGAGAAGGCAAGGAACAGAGAAGGGGCTTATCCCATGTATGTAGACAGGATCAGAATTCCCCCCCCCCCTTTCTTCTAAGTTACTCACCCTTAGTACCACTATAAACACCAGTAGACACTCAACAAGACTTGAAATATGAAGACTAGTAGTAAATAACATATTAGAGCAGTAGTTCTCAATCTTTTTAATGCCGCGACCCCCAACTGGTCGTAAGTGGAGGACTACTCAACTGGTGCAGCACCGTTTGCAGAATGGGACTTTTGGCTGGCTCAGCAGGGCAGAGACAGCCTGGACAATTCCTATTGGCTTTTGAAAGCCAATAGAATTAGACTCTATTCAAGAGAGTCTATTCGATTGGCTTTCAAAAGCCAATAGAATAAAAGGGAGTAGCACAGCTAAGGAAAAGGGGGAAAAAATGGCGGACTGCGTTGTTTGGCGACCCCCGTGAAATGGTCGTTCGACCCCAAATGGGGTCCCGACCCACAGGTTGAGAACCACTGTATTAGAGGATTCCATACCATACATGGCAATGCAAAAAGAGAAGGTCAAAGAACACGAGGCAGATTCAGAAGAAGATGGAGAGACAACATCAAAGACGCACTACAACAAGGGTTGAAGCTGCCAGAAGAGCAAGAAGCAGAACTCGACACCCGAAGCAGTAAAAGAGGAATTAAAGAAGAGAAGAAGAGATCAGAATTTTCCCTCCGTCGTTAAGCTTAAAAACAAGGCTGAACCGATTATGGAATCCTCATCTTCTTTACCACTTACTTTTAATTTTGCTCACTGTTTTAAGATACTGGGAACGCATCTCTTCCAAAGCTTTTCCATTGCATGAACAGCAAGGTCTTGAGACACAGCCTTCTGAGGATGACCTGGAAGCACAAGAAATGGGATGCCCAAACTGAAAATGAAATTACAACTGCCGAGAGAAGTTTAGTATTATATTATAATGAAAGTTTATGGTGCTGGAGAAGACTCCTGCGAGTCCTTTGGACTGCAAGGCATTCAAACCGGTCAGTCCTAGAAGAGATCAACCGGGACTGCTCTTTAGAAGGCCAGATCCTGAAGTTGAAACTCAAGTACTTTGGCCACCTAATGAGAAGGAAGGACTCCCTGGAGAAGGGCCTAATGCTGGGAAAGATGGAGGGCAACAGAAGAAGAGGACGACAGAGAAGGAGGTGGCTGGATGGAGTCCCTGAAGCAGGAGGCGTGAGCTTAAATGGACTCCAGAAGATGGCAGAGGACAGGAAGGCCTGGAGGAACGTTGTCCATGGAGTCGCGGTGGGTCGGACACGACTTCGCAATTAACAACAAATAATAAAAGTTATTATTTCTCTCGTCATGTATGGGCTACCTGGGAGGAATGTTGACACATTTCAAATCATCAAGTTGGTTCTTCATTGCAGAATTTTCTTCCAAGAGGGCTTTCATAATTTTTTCATTCTCTAAAAAAAAAAAAAAAAAAGAGAGAGAGAGAGAGAGAGAGAGGAAAAACCCTTGAAGTGTTACATTTAATTTGGTGTTACATAATAACCCAGCAATTTTGTTTTTGTTATGATTTAGAATTCCAATTGATTGTTATTCTACTAGTGACCTTTTGGGTTACTCTTCTAGAAAGCTGTTACTCTTTGAACACAAAGGCTGTTACTCACAAAATTCACTGATATTAAAACATCGCAGTTATTCCAAGGTTCATAACGAATACAGGACAAAACAATTCTCTATTGGGTGTAATATGATAACTGGGGAAAATCATACAGAACTTAACATCAAAAGTATTAATAACATGACTCTGGCTTGGCCAATGGCAAATGTTCCCATCCTTGGAAAGAGTAATTAAAATCCTGGGAGAATGAGAGGTAATTATTTTTATAAAAGCTATTTAACAAGTCCGTTGAAAACCTAACTGCAAGTGATATAATTATTTTCTATAGTAAAGCATTAAGTTAAATTAACTACAAAGCTTTAAACAAATGTAGCGGAAGCTTATTTTACATGTCAACGTATTATTAGATCATAGAAACGTCAAGTTATTATATTGTGCTTATAAGAATAAGGGATAATGTTTATTTCACAGATGTGTTTTCAGAAGCCTGAAACCACATTAAGGATAACGGGGTTTCTATTTTTATATATTTAACTGGCATCAAACAAAGAATCCAATTAAGCGCATGCATGAGTGAACTAGTTATTCTTATTCAACATCAACATGTAAAAGGTAACAGACCTTGGGCTTGTTCAGACTTTGTTTTTTGTTCCTTCACAGCAAGCTGGAGATGCCTGCAAGCTTTGTCCAATTTCTTTTTCAAATCCTCACATTCTTTTTCCTTTTTTTCCAGCTGCTGTCGATAATGCTCAAAACAAATCTCGTCTTGCGACGACATATTTCTTTTTCTACATTTACAATCTGCACCAACAAATGTGAAAAGTTACTGGTTACTTTTTACTTGATCTATGTGTGGTGTTCGCTTCCTAACAATGAAGAATTAGTAGTGAATTTGGACTATTCTTCTCAAGGAATTCCAGTTGCAGAGTCTGTAATTCTAAGTTTACAGTTCACAAAGTCTCACCGTATATTTATGTAGTCTTTAGAAAATCACAGAAATGAAGACAATATTGTAAAGTTTAGCATTCACTGACACCCATCAGAAAACTGCCCTAGATTACAAGCTCAGTACCTAATGAAGGAGCACTCTAGATTTTACTTTATAAAGATGTCATCCAGCGTCTAACATACTGGATAATATTCACGGACCTCCCCAGCTGTAACTCTATAACCCAGTAACCTTATTTCCAGAGTATTCTTTCATATCTGTGCAATTCTCTATCTAAACCAGAGATGTCCAATCTTGGCAATTCTAAGACTTGTGAACTTCGACTCCCAGAATTCCCTGGCCAGTTGCCAAGGTTAGCCCTGCTCTCAACTGTCTCTCTACCTATTGGCTAGCACAGCTGAATGCGACTAGGAAAAACTGAATGTATGTGCTAGGTAAAATAGAATCAAGCAAGACTCCAATTAAAGCGAGGAAATGGATGCAACGTAATACCAAGATCTCTTTCAGTCTCCTCCAAAGGTGGATGTTTCCTTAGTATCCGCTGTAGTTCGACTTGCTGACCAATGTTATACGCGGAAGGCCTGAATTTGTCTCCAGGCTCCCCTTCACCGTTCTGCATGCAAGAGTCATCCGAATCTTTGAAAACGGAGCCCAGATGTTCGTGTTTCTAGAAAGGAGCATACAGACAGAAATTTTACACGAACAGGCAGCAATTCAGAACCAACTCTTCAAATCAATCTTGCGTTCCAAGGGAAAAAAAAAATCCAACTTGCTTATCACATTCAAAGCAGAGAAGACGCTAGTTTTCTTCCCAATAAAGGACAAAAGTGGGATATATATACATCTGACACAGCTAAACCTAATAACTACTCCTTCATTTTTCTTTGCGAGGCAAAGAGCAGCTCAGGTCTAATGTATTCAGTTGTGACATGTCAGTAGTCACAATAAAAAATGGGGGGAGTGGAATGCAAAGACAATGTATGGAACCCAGTGACATCAGGGGTACCAGTCTCAGCAGAGAATCTAGAACAGGGGTAGGCAACCTTGGCTCTTTTATGACTCGTGGACTTCAACTCCCAGAATTCCTGAGCCAGCCATGCTGAGGGGAAAAGGAAAGGTTTCCAAGCTGAGCCATGCTGGCTCGTGGAGTTGAAGTCCACGAGTCATAAAAGAGCCAAGGTTGCCTAGAACCTTAAAACTTGTTGCAGTTCATCAACTGATGTGCTCTTGGTTGTAAATTTGTTGTGTATTTTTTGTCACTTTTAATTTGCTTTGTTATTGCCTTTCCAAGGGAATTCTTAATTGTTGGCTTTGAAACTTAATAAAGGTGCTATTAAAAAGAAAAGATTTGCAAATATACAGATTCTTCTGCTTTGAATATATTTTTGTATTATATTGATATGGTGCATATAGTTTTTTTTACTTTCATAAAGCGACAGTCCCGTTTTTCCTAGTTCTGCTCTGCTAAAAAGTGGAAAACAAAGGACCATAAGCAAAGGATAAAATCAAAATACGAATCATATAAGGCCACGTTAATGTTACCTGGTTCCACTTTTTCGTTGCTTTTCCAAGAATGGCACTGACCGTGCTTCGGTAGGCTTTCTGCAAACAAAATGCCAGTTTGTCTTTGAACTGGCGATTGATCTGAAGAGGGGGAGACGCGCTCCACTTAGTTTCCCAAGTACCTTCACAACTTGCACACTGGACCAAATCCTTGTGGAGGTCATCTAAGAGAAGTTCTACCTGAACGAGAATCCTGTCCTCGTAGTGATGGACTTCGTTTTGAAGTCTCTTGGCTTCCTGAACTGCCCATTCCTGTTGCTTCCGGACAAGGCACGTCTTCAGCTCGGCTTCTTTTTGGTCCAGCAATTCTTTCTTTTGGTTTTCAAAGTCTTCTTTGGCTTTTGCAAACATCTCGCCGAGTTTAACTTTCTGGTCCTGTAAAAGGGCATGGCGCTCTTTTTCGTTCTGGTCTTGCAGGCTGAGCATCTCCCCTTCCTTTTCTTTAATCCACTGAGAATGAGCTTTCGCAAGCTCTGCTTCGATAAGCGAGGGGATCTCGTCTTGCTTCAGCTCCAGCTCCCTTCGAAGGGACAGCGCCTTCTCTTCAAGTTCGTTGATCCTTCTCTGGGCTTTATCGCTGTTCTCGAGCTGCTTCTTCCATCTCTCTTCAGCAGCTGAGACCTAAAGAGGCCACACAGAAGTCTGTCAGTTAATGCCTGAAATGCAGGGCGTCTCCACATTTGGCAAACTTTAAGACCTGTGGACTTCGACTCCCAGAATTCCACAGCCAGCCATGGTCATGAATTGAAGTCCACAAGTCTTAAAGTTGCAAGTTTGGAGACCCCTGGATTATGACAGAAGAGGCATAGCTGCTAGTAATACAGCAGTATTTTAAGCAGGTTAACTTGTTAAGCACGGAAACATATTGCTTAATCTGTTTCCTATCAGAGTTAAGAACGGTTTGGATTACTGCAAGGGGAGAAACATAATGGAAATTAGTATTTTAATAAGTAGGGGAAAGGTTGTCCACAAAGTTGACAAGTTTGGAGGACATCCCCCCCCCCCGCCATAATGCCTAAAGATTTCTCTGGATGCTTTCACATGGATTGGGAGAGGTATACCTCAGCTTGAAATTAACACAGGAGGGTAGCTGTCCAGGACAGCCAGACTTCTCTCTTTTCTCCTCCAGCCTATTTTATTTGTGATCCTAGTGGTTAGTACTGGTGTTACCGTAGTTAACTATTAAACCCTGGTCCTAGTTGGAAACAAATCAAAAGCTGGTACTTTTAATGAAGGTGGGGGGAGAAAGGTTGTGGCTGCACAGTTGAAGACAAGAATAAAGGACTCTCTAAATCAAATAGCTATTATTAACAAGTGCAGACAGCTTTACCATCTACACTAGTTATTTGACAAACACCATTTCCAAGGGGGTCTTAAAATCTCTGAAATTAGATGCCGCAAGCCAAACTTGCTCAAACTCATTTTAAAACTATATAATGCAGAAGATGGCAGTCAGAGATACACAGGCAATCTTGCTGGGCTGCTATAGGCTTCAATAGCTATCTCTTTGGGATGTTTAAGCAGATACCCAGGCATCTGTCCAATCCAATCAACTGACTTTCATAGTTTTTCAGGCCAATGTAGTAAAGTACAAAACTGTCACATTGTCCACACTTGGTCGCTTCGTCATGACGACGAAATCCGTTCTCCGCTACCTTTTCTGCTGTGCTGATCTCCGATTCCTTTTCCCATTTTTCTTTGGCTGCCTTCAAGTGGTTTTTGTACTCCTCCAGATCGGTAAGTTCTTGCAGCCACAAGGCACGAGCCTTCGTCAGAGCTGCTTCCACCTAGTTAAGTAAGTAAAGTTAATAGTAAGCAAAGGTCAAGACGCCATTTCTGCCCGAAAAACAAAGCAAAACAAAACATGAAAGTCCAGTGTCAGCTCTCTTTCAATTAACTGCATGTGTAAAACTGTTGCTTTGATTAAGATAAGTCCATGCCAGTTTTTCCTGGGACCAAGTTTGCAATATCAAATCTTAAAAGGCTTAGAAAACAGACTCCTTGCTCTAGGTTTCATTCTAAGTGAAAATCAAAGCACAAATACTGAGGCTGACCTTGAAAATTAGAACTTTTTAAAAAGGTATATTAATGGAAGTATGTATTATCAGTCATCCTCAACCATTAAAGGATCAAAATTCAGGCAACTGGACCAGTAATTTATGACAGCTGCAGTAACCCCGGGGGCCAGGTGATTGCCATTTGCTGCCTTCCCAGACTGCTTCTGACAAGCAAAGTCAATGGAGGAAGATGGATTCACTTAACAACTGCAGTGATTTGTTTAACAACCGCCATGCCTAGCAATGAAAATTCTGGTCCCAGTTATGGCTGTGAAGTCAAGGACTATCAACATCCAGCTCAAGAATCCAAATAAAACTCCAGGTTCATTCTGTTTCCAAAACCTTACAGTTTATTGAATACGCGACATGGTAATGTCGAAGCAAAACTCCCTCTGAGGTTCCCAGACACTGGTTCATAGAATTAAACAAGGATTTCCCCAGACAACCCCCCCAACCTCTCATGTAGTCCATGTAAATAATTTGACTTTGTTATGGGAACTGTCTGCTTCATCTCCGCACCTGCTGCGGTGTCCTTGGAAGGGTTTCAGGCTCTCCCAGTCTTCAGCGGAATCGTAGACGTTTCGTTTTTCCATCTAACCCATTCTAAAGCATCACCTCCTCTGCCTCACTCTAATGGCAAGTTGAAACGAAGAGGCAGGTAACTGCCAAAGTTTCATTCTTGACAAGGACTACCCGTAGTCGTTTTCTAGATTCAGCCCTAAAGCAATTATTTACTCCAAATCACGTTGATTGCACATGTTTGGGTTTTATCTTGTACCCTCATAAAAATAAAGCCGCCTGTCACCTGGGTGGCAATGCTCTCGTGGTAGCTCGCTTCCTGCTCCCTCAACGACCTTTCCTTTGCTTTCAGAGCCTCCCTCAACGACAACGTTTGTTCCTCTACCGCCCCGGCAATCACTTGGCACAGAGTTTCATCCGTTTGGCTGCCGTGATCTTTGAGTTCCACCGTGGTCCTCTTGGTCTCTTCCAAAGCCTGGGCTAATCTTTGTTGCCATTCTTTTTCAACTTCCTGACAAGCCTGCTCTTGGGCCTGTGGGGAAGAGAAGACTGTGTTAAACAAAAGTTAAATTTCATATGGAAAATCTTTGGGGGAGGGAAAAACCTAAATAAAGCCAAAGCTTGGAGTCTTCTTTTTTTCTCTCTCTCTAGCAAGCAGAAAGAAGAGGAGCTGGATGTTGAATTTGCACAGGGATGGATTAAGGTGTTTTTTTTAGAGAACACTTGCAAAAATTAAATATCAAAGAATCCCGAGCTTCCTTAAAATCAGAAGGATATACATTTTATATTAGAATGGGCTGAATTATCTGTGCCATTGAAAAAGTTGTTTCTTGCTATGCTTTTAAGACCCAGGGGAAAAGGTCTTCAAGAACTGGGGAATTTCTTCATAATCCCACCCAGCCAGTCTCTGTGAAACTACGCATGGAGGCTCTCACTTGTATAATAGCAGAAACTCCAACATACCTCTTTCTGTGCTTTCTCCCAAATGTTTTTGGCAAGTTCCACTTCTTTGTCAAGACGCTGCCTTATGTCAGCTTCGCTTTCCTTCTGCCACTGGTTCTTTGTTAGTTCCACGACATTCTTGTGTGTTTCTTCTAGTTCGTTCCTTAGTCTGTTCAAAGAATCTTCCTTTTCCACCAGTAACTGTTAGCGTTCAGAGTAGATGTTAGGGCATCATTCAGATAAGAGATTGTGTTGATTAAAGAGGTAAAAAGTGAAGGTGTCTTGTAGTTCCCCTGATTGCACAAATTTCTTTTCGCATATGCTAACGTACTACCTCTTACTCAAAAGCACTTCTTTATCCTGTAGAAAGTGTTTGGGCACTAGCAATAGCACAGACTTAGATATCGCTTAGAGCAGTGGTTCTCAACCTGTGGGTCGGGACCCCATTTGGGGTCGAACAACCATTTCACGGGGGTCGCCAAACAACGCAGTCCGCCATTTTTTCCCCCTTTTCCTTAGCTGTGCTACTCCCTTTTATTCTATTGGCTTTTGAAAGCCAATAGAATAGACTCTCTTGAATAGAGTCTAATTCTATTGGCTTTCAAAAGCCAATAGGAATTGTCCAGGCTATCTCTGCCCTGCTGAGCCTGCCAAAAGTCCCAGTCTGCAAACGGTGCTGCACCAGTTGAGTAGTCCTCGACTTATGACCGGTTGGGGGGTCGCGGCATTAAAAAGGTTGAGAACCACTGGCTTAGATAGTGCTTTACAAAACCCTCTGGGCAGTTTACAATGTCATCCTATTACCCCTAACAATCTGGGTCTTCATTTTACCAACCTCAGGAGGATGGAAGGCTGAATCAACCTGTTGGAATTGAACTCCAGGCTGTGGGCAGACTTTTCCTGCAATAGTGCATTCTAACCACTGCACCACCAGGGCTCCTAGTAGATAATCATATGTCCCACTAATTAGGGAGAACTTAAGATTGCTCAGGACCTTCATTTAGCCCTGTTACTTTGCAACGAGTCTCTCTGTAATAAACTAAGGCTATTCGGGCCACTACCTTTTCCTCCCTCTGATGCTGCTCTTGTTCAAATGCTGCTTTCAAAACGGCGGCCTGCTCATCTTTCTCCTTGCAGACGGCAAGGTAACATTCTTTCACTACAATCATCTCTTTATTCAGGTCATCAATGTCCAACCTAGAGGGGAAAAAAAATCACGACATGGAAGACGTTAGAAGGTCAAGAAACATACATGAAGCATAAGCTTACTTCAGATGTTTCAGTTTAACTTTTCAAATACATTCATACTTTAACTGAGCAATGTTCTCTTCATAGGCATGGATGAGTTTTTCCTTCTCCGCAACGTGTTTTCCTGCAGACTCCTCAAGGAGCTTTTTCTTTGTGTCTTCATAATGTTGCCGATAAGTCCTTTCGCACCTGGAGGAGGAAAGGGAAGAACTTAATTTATTGCTTGAGAAAGCATGATAAATCCAGGGCCTAGGACCGTATAAATGCAGCTTCACTGACCATATCCGTCCAAATTTAAAGAACACAGAATATAAAAGATAAGTGTATTATGATAAAGACACTGTTGTCCAGTCAACCACCAAGAGCTCCTCAGAAGAGTTTCTGTTTTACCAGTTCTCAGAAAGCAATCTGATGGCCCCAATCTAGTTTCCGGGGGAAACAATTCTACAAGACCAGGGCTATGACACAGAAACAATGACTCTAACTTCATTTCCTATTAATTATAGACAAGGGGGATCACCAGAGTTTCTTCTCAGGAAGAGTACAGTGGATGGGTTGATTCCAGCTGGAGAAGGAGGCCCAACAAGCATCTTATTCCAGCTGGAGAAGGAGGCCCAACAAGCATCTTAGAGGGCTTTGTAGGCATTTTGAATTTGCACCCAGAAAAGCTATTGGCAATCACTGCAGAAACTGTGGCACAATACAATCTTGGTGATTACAATATTTACGTCCCTTTGGAGCCAGCAGGCCAAAAAGAGTCCTAGTGCAGTAGTGGCGAACCTATGGCATGGGCACGTGCGCCATCGCCCCAGTCCTAGGCCTTCAGCTGGGTTTTATAAAACCTTTTCGCTTTAGGCCTCCGCTGTCGTGTGCAAAAAAAAAGTTCAATCAATCAGTCAATTTCAACTTCTCGCGGGAAAAAAAAGATCTTGCAAAGTTGGAATTGTTTGATTGAACTTTTTAGTCCCACCCAGTTTGCTGTTACCATTGCAGCCACACCCACCCAATGGGCCACACCCACCCAATGGGCCACACCCACCCAGCACCCAACGATGCATAAGTGGGTTTTGGGTTGCATTTTGGGCACTCGGTCTCCAAAAGGTTCGCCATCACTGTCCTAGTGCAAAAGGATAGATATTGTGCCTGTCGCCAATGGAGCCCACCCGTGAAGAGATTTAGTGAATCTGAACAACTGTGTACAACCGTCGCAACGGCCTGGTGAGAGATGAATGGACTCATTTCTTCCCAGATGGGAAATGGCCAGCCTCAATCAATCACGTTTTTGTCTTCCTCTGATGGAGTTCTAGGCATAAAACTGTAGCGTTCCATTAAGTACTTGGTCAGGGCCCGAAACATCTTAGTGACATCTCTGGGGAACTGTCAAGCATAAAAGCTGCTCTGAGGGAATCTAGAAGGAAAATGTTCTTACTCCTGGGTATATCTTCTGGATACATCTACAAAACACTACCAATACAGATGAGTCTTAAGCCACAAAGACCATCACTGTTTCCCCTTATCTCCTTTATACAGAAAAGCAGAAGATAATTTAAGATCAATAAAGGTCACTCTATGTTTACTTCAACTTTCCCTCCCAAGTCACCTGTCGAGGGCTTCTTGTTTATCCCGATCAGAATCCTGAACCATCTGCCTCATCTGATTGCACAGGTCTTGATTTGCGTTTTTTAGCTGTTCTTTGCCTTCCAGAAGTTCCTGAATACATGCGTTATGACTCTGATGAAAAGAGAAATAGTATTAAACATGACCTCATATTTTAATTATTTAAGACATATTTCCAGGCTGCTGCAATGCAAATTATTCTTGGCAGCGTACAGGGTGTTGATATGGCATTGCACTCAAATTATTAATCTTTCTGGCTTTAAGAATGACATATTATGAACAACATTATCAGACCCTTGAGACGGGACAGAAAAATTCGTAAGATTCCTATCTAGGCCATAGATGCAAAAAAGGATTACAACGAAGAAATTAAAGCAGTTGTAACCAATTTCTTAGGAAATGCATTTCTCTTCGGGGATTGTGTAAAATGCTTCTTAAAACAAGTCATTATTCATTCTAGGTGCGTTGCAGAAAAATGGCCCTTCTTAACTTCAGAGATAGCTCATGTTTTTTAATGTGCTAGAAATAAAAGGTGCTTCAGACTTCTGATTTTTTTTTTGCTACCATTGACTAACATGGTTCTTTGCATACAACATAGTGTAAATCAACCTTTTCCAAGTTGTGGCCCCCGATGAATCGGGGTGTTAATTCTGTGGGTTTCCAGCCACGTATCTATCTTGCATTCCGTAGAACTTCAACTTGGTTAAGGACTGTTATGGATGCCTTTCTACCAACAGGCATTTCTGTGCATAGAGGATGCTATGATTTTTGTGAGAGAGACCCTAGAAGCCTATGTCAGTTTTAATCCCATCTAAAGATGTGTGTATAATGGTCCACCTGTTGTTCTTTAGTTTATAGAAAATTAATTAACCATAAACAGCTTCATCTGATTTTATAAGACAAGTGTTCTCGTTTTAATCTTCCCTCCCAAATCAGATCACAGCATGGGAATATCTTATCCAATCAGACGCTAAATAAAGATACTTTATCTGTAGACATGGGGGGAAAAAAGCACCTCAATCTCCTGTTGCAATTCTTGGTTTTCCTTTTTGAGCTTCAGCATTTCATCGGAGGAATGATACTCTGTGGAATCAGATGGACTCTCCATGTTTTTCCCTTTAGTCTAATATAAAAGAGAAGTACAGAGAATATTTGTTAGTTTTTAGTTGAATTTTATACAACCAAAAATCTATCTAAAAAAAATGTGTACCGTCCCACTCCAATTTGTAGGAGATGGTAAAGATGAGTAGCATTAGGCTGTGTTAAACATGCACTATTTGGTGCAGAAGGAAGTTGGTGTTCAATGGAACAAGGCAAGGTTAATGAGGATTGTGCAATTTTATGTCTTGCTACCTGAGATTAATCTCCTCCAAATTTCTGTCCTATATCTGTCCTATATCCAGATTCAGTCAGTTTCATTCCATACAGCATTAACCTTGTAAATTCTCAAGCTTCCTCCTTCCGTTATGTATTCCAGATGGACAGTGTTTTAATATTTATTTGTTATGTATATGTAGGGGTGGGGGTCTATACATATGTTGTATATAGTATGTTTAGATGTGTGTCATGTATGTGTTCATTTTGAGAGTGGACAACTAAATTTCATTTTTGATGTGTGCCGTTGTGCCCACAGTAAAAATGACAATAAAGGTTATCTTATCTGCTGCAACAGAGAAAGGAGCAATAGAGACACAATAAATAGGATAGGAATGGGTAGACAATGTTTACTACATTTCCCTCCAGATTCAAAAATGATCCAATGGTCCAACAGACAAATATGGGTCTCTGAAGCTGATTTGACTTTCACCTCTAGATAAATATGACTTTATATCATGGGTAGTTTGGCCCACAGTGGGCATTCAAGTATTGTCAGCCATTTTCGTACACTAACCAACTAGGCCAGGGGCAGGCAACCTTGGCTCTTTTATGACTCGTGGACTTCAACTCCCAGAATTTCTGAGCCAGCCATGCTGAGGGGAAAGGTTTCCAAGCTGAGCCATGCTGGCTCAGGAATTCTGGGAGTCGAAGTCCACGAGTCATAAAAGAGCCAAGGTTGCCTACCCCTGAACTAGGCCATCCATCCAAGCTGTAGCACCAAGTAACTCTATTATTTTAAGCAAGGACATCACATATAGATGAGAGAGCATGGTGGCTCATGAGGTTAAAACGCTGGGCTGCCGATTGGCAGGCTCGTGTTTGAGACCCACTGCTGCTGCAGGATGGAGTGAGCTCCTGTCGCATGCTCCAGCTCTTGCCAACTCAACAGTTCGAAAGCAGGCAACTGCGAGTAGATAAATGTATACCACTTTGCTGGGCACCTTCACAGGGACAAGAAAGGAGCCTCCAACTGGGCATCCCCGCCCCACCCAGAGCAGCGATGATGTTACCATCAAATCCATTCATCACGGAAGCCCTTCGGTGCTTCCGACATGGAAGTTATTAGTATCGCACGCAGATCATAGTTACCCAAGAAGGCATCTTTGCCAAGGATGAAGAATTTCAAGGAAACACAGAACGTTTTAACGGGACGTCTGAAGCGTCCTCTAACTTTTGAAGCACATTTCTCAAGGAGAAAAAAAAACAACGAATGCTTATTGCTTACGTGACCGGCCGAGTGTTTGCTACTTCAGTTATATCTTTCTAATCCACTGTCATCATTCTTTTTCTTCCTACAGCTATCCAAGTTTGCTACAGTAAGGCTGGTTTCTCTCAGCGAGCTTTCTAAGCTCTGAGTAAACACTGTCTCCTTCCATCAGAAGTCTGGCAGAGAGTGCTTATAAAACAAACAATTACTTTACAAATGCACTTTTCTGTCAGCAAACAAAGCAACGGTTTTGTTTCATCGCTAATGTTTCTGGGGTCTCTTTACTCAGATGTTAGAAACCTGTGGATTAACTGAAATTCTCAGCAGTCCCATTCAGCAAAGCCAACAATGGGAGCTTTCTGGAGATTGAAAGTCAGCAACATCTGGAAGATTTCAGATGTTGTACCGTCATCTTTTCTTGAGGGATTTCTGCCGCAGCTTATTCCACTAACAGCCAACACCCTGTCCTCCAAATATTAATTCACAATTCACTGCAATATTTCTTGTGTATTCCTTATCAAAACAAGTGGTCCACCCAATGCATTCCAAAGTTGTGGTGAAACTTGTATTTTGATCACAGCTATCACTGGGGAAAACTAAGACAAGGTCAGTCGTAACTGACCTAAGCAACTATAACAAGAAAAAATATACATTAGGTTGAATAAAATTAGGAATACTACCCAATCTGGCTAGTGAGAAAAACATTTAGTAGTTCCAAATTGGCTACAATCGCTGCATTTTGTCCAATGAATAAAAATCCAAAGTGTTAATCTCCGTATGGAAGAGAGAGAGCAGGTTAACCTTTATGACGGTTGCTAACGGCCAGTTTCATAACGTGGAAAATTATATTCCTATCAAAGATATTAACATACAAAATAAGTAACGCCTTTCACGTACGTTTGATTTTACCAGTTGCTGCTTCAGTTCTTCTATAGTCTTGTGACAATCTTCAAGGTCATTTTGCAGTCGAGAAATCCGGTTCCTCTTCGATTTGTTACTGTTTAATAACCGCTGCATTTCAACCTTCAGCTCTGAAACGATTTCATCTTTAGAAAGCCCTTTATCGGTTTCTTTATTCAATGAACAGCTGTCAAACATTAAAGATAAGAAAGGAGGTCATATTACAGTGGTTCTCAACCTTTTTAATGCCGCGACCCCCAACCGGTTGTAAGTCGAGGACTACTCAACCGGTCGTAAGTCGAGGACTACTCAACTGGCGCAGCACCGTTTGCAGAAGGGGACTTTTGGCTGGCTCAGCAGGGCAGAGACAGCCTGGACAATTCCTATTGGCTTTTGAAAGCCAATAGAATTAGACTCTATTCAAGAGAGTCTATTCTATTGGCTTTCAAAAGCCAATAGAATAAAAGGGAGTAGCACAGCTAAGGAAAAGGGGGAAAAAAATGGCGGACTGCATTGTTTGGCGACCCCCGTGAAATGGTCATTCGACCCCAAATGGGGTCCCGACCCACAGGTTGAGAACCGCTGTCATATTAGATATTCTGAATGTCATAAAATTACTAAGGTTGCCCATATAAATCCGCTATTAGGAGCTACCTATTCTGTGGTTATAATTAGCTTTTCAGCTACACTGAAATCTATTTGTATTTAGAGAATGTATTGACCTACTGGCAGAAAATTACAAAGTTGCTCTGGCTCTCCCATATCCATTGCCTTCCTACCAAAGTGGTACCTATTTATCTACTCTCATTTGCACGCTTTCAGATTGCTAGGTGGGCAGGAGCTGGGGCAAGAAACGGGAGCTCACCCCGTTGTGTGGCGCTCGGGTTTTTTTTAACTCGGCCTGTCTGCTTTCCAGTTGACAAGTTCAGTGTCTTTAACCACTGAGCCATCGTGCCCTCTCTCCATCTACTGTAGTAGCATGAATATATAAAGCCTTCCCCCATTGGCCCTCTTCATAGTGATTACCACTATTGTTTTGGGTTTTTTTTTAAAAAAAAAAAAGTTTTATTGGTTTTTATAGGGTTAAGGATAAGATGGGGTCAGGACTGGGGTTAAGGTTTAGGCTGGGGTTGGGATTAGGGTTGGGGCCAACATTGGGGTTATCCTCCAGTAACATTTTCAATTTTTAGCAAACAGAGTATTGTCTGGATACATATGTTTAACTAACAATAGTTAATATGGTAGTAAATAACAGTAGTAGGTATAATTGTTTATCCTAAACAATATTAAATACTTAATCAATCCATAACATTCTTCTTACTAGCATGTATTCAAAATAACATATCACATTCTTTCTCCCTAATTCGTTTTGCTAGCCATTGATAAAATGATTACCACCATTGTTGAAGTTGACGGCTGGGTCAGCTCTCCAAATTACTGCTGTGTTAATTCATTCCTTGATGTTTGGGGCAAGTTTCGAAAGGTAGCTTATAAATTATTATTTTTTTAAATCAACACCAGAATTGGCATGCTATTGGGTGCTAGGGGCTTAATACAACATACCGAAGTTATGCTATAAAAAGAATATGCAAACCAAAAGATGTCCCATTTTGTTTCTTGAAGGAGAGTCCAGTGGAAGTTCCCATGTAAAATGATTTTAGCCAGGGAAGGGAAGGGGCGGCATTTTACATTATTTGCAAATGCAACAGTTGGAAGATGCTGAGAAAATGGAGAAATATCCCATGTGAACGTTCCTTATGCATTTTGTTTTCAGTGACCAAGCCATTAATTAATTTGTGATTACCTCTGTAATGTTGTCTTCTTGTTGATTTGCTTAATGCCCAAATCTACGTATGAATCTGTTAATTCCACATTCAGATTTCCACCTGGATCGTTGAGAAACACACCATGTTTTGTGGCTGATTCATAGAGAACAATTTCTTCTTTTAGTTCCTTTATCTCTTCCTATAAATACGGATACTCAATTAAGAGTCAGACAAACTGGAAATAAACTCCATCTCATTTTGAGCACTAAGGAATCAAACAATCCTCTACTTTCCATAGAGTTATAGTCTCCAATGGAGGCATTTCTTATACTTTTAATTTTATACTGGTCCACCTCAGTTCATTTCTACAATATTGAAGAAAAGAAAAGAAAATATATGAACCTGAAGAGCTTTATTCATCTCATTGCCTAATAATTGTGCAGAGTGAGCTTGCTGAAGCTGCAGACGTAGCTGATTCGTCTCTGTTACTAAGCCTGGAAGGAAACAGAATGAATTTATGAACATTAAACTAAAAAGTATTTAAGAGAAGAAGATACAAGCTCGATTGAAACCGCTCATTCACTAACTTAAACCATACTCTAGGTTCCTCTCTTATAACAAAAGCAAGGAAAGTACATGGATGTTGCAGTTATATGGTGGAAAGAGAGTAACATCAGAACTATGTTTCCAGCTCTTGGAATTGCATAATTTCATTGTAGCTTATCTCCCATATTAAAATTAAAATAATGACAGAGAAGTATCTCAAGTATATTTGCTTTTCTTTAGCACACCCAAAGCTAAAAGAAACTGTGAGGCTGCCCATTATGATAGGCCAGGCTGCCTTGATAGAATGGATGATTAAAAATAAAGGAAGATGATGTCTAAATATATATTTTCACCTTAAATGTCCTTTGGAAAAGCCTTCTATGCAACTTCTTAGCCAGCAGGATTTTTTAAAATAAATAAATAAATCTGGATTTGGTAGGGAATATGGATGCTTGAATACCATTCTGTGAAATTCATCCCTCTGATTCATTATATTACACAAGATTAATTTCTGAAGTTTGAAACTGCAAACTTCCATTCTTGCCTTTCCTTACCTGAGCAGCCTCAGACTTTCAGCTGCTGCTATTGGAGTGTCTTTCTAAGCAAACACACAAAAAAGTGAAATGCTGTGTTGGACAAAAAAAATAATAATAAAAAATTTTAAGAACTGCGATTAAACTAATTAGACTAATCCTTCAATGGTAACTACTGCAAAGGTGGCTATTTAAATTTAGTTGAGGGCTGGTGTTGTTTTTTTTTACGCACCTGTTTGTAATAAATTTGCACACTGGTTTTGGCTTTCTTCTAGACTTCTTGACAGACGATTGATTATTTCGTTTTTTTCTAATTTACTTTCTTCAAGAGTTCTTTCAAGCTGCTTCACGTGCTCCTTTAGGTGGCAACACATTTCTATCTGATAAAAGATAGAGCACTGCTTAGAAGCCTTTGTATATTTCACTTACGTATTCATCCAATAAACGTTACTATTCGTTTTTACTTCCATAATGTTTATATAGGACTTCTAGCAAAAAAAAAAATGTGTTCCCCTGGTGTCTATTTTTCTGTAGCAACCGGAACTCTACTTAGAAAAGCTACTTAGCCCTCTAGGAAACCTTCAGGGCCCAAGTCACAAAGAATAGGGGTAGATCTAGAAATAAAAGTATTAATGTATTGTCTGTATTACAAAAATATGTTTACATTAGTACTGTAACAGGGAGTCAAAGATTTTTAGGGGGCTTTTTCAGTCTTTAAAATAGAGAGGTAAAGACATTCACTCTGACATTTGTTCTTTTTTTTAACTCTTGCTCATTCCGAGATGAAGCATTATACAGGTAGTCCTCAACTTAGGACCTCAATGGAGCCCCAAATTTCTGTTGCTAAGTGAGATGTTAAGTGAGTTTTGCCATTTTACAGTCTTTCTTGCCACAGTTGTTCAGAGAATCACTGCAGTTGTTAAGTTAGCAGCACGGCTGTTAAGTGGATCTGGCTTCCCCATTGACATTTGCTTGTCAGAAGGTCGCAAAAGAGGATCACAGGATCACAGGATCCCGGGACATTGCGACCGTCATAAATAGGAATCAGCTGCCAAGCGTCTGAATTCTGATCAGGTGTCCATGGGGATGCTGCAACGGTCGTAAGGCTGACAAACGGCCATAAGTCCCTTTTTTTCAGTGCCGTTGCAACTTTGAACCATCACTAAATGAACGGTTGTATGTTGAGGACTGCCTGCATTCGCAAATGAAGGTTTGGGGCTATGAAGCTTATTGAGCAGAGAAAACTTGGTCAGGTATTTTGCAAGTGTATTTTCGTCTTGTGAGGAAGAATCTCACCTGCTCCTGGAGCGATGCATTCTTCACATCCAGTTTCTGCTGCAAAGATGAAGCTTGCTCTTCCAGTTTCTGCCGGAGTGCGGCAACGATAGCCTCGTGCTGCTCCCTGGCACGCTGGAGAGCGTCAGAACGGCGCAGTTCCAAGAGCTGCTGTTGCAGGCTCTCCATGGCGACTTCTGCAACTTTGGATTGTTTGATCAGCTGCAAACAAAATAAAAGCCATAGCAATAGCACTTAGATTTATAGACCGCTTCACAGGGCTTTGCAGCCCTCTCTAGGCAGTTTACGGAGTCAGCATACTGTCCCCAACAATCTGGGTCCTCATTTTTACCGACCTCGGAAGGATGGGAGGCTGAGTCAACTCTGAGCCCTATCAGGACTGAACTGCTGGTAGTGGGAATGTTTTTATAGCAATAGCATTTAGATTTATATACCGCTTCAGAGTGCTTTACAGCCCTCTCCAGGCAGTTTACAGAGTCAACATATTTGCCCCCAACAATCTGGGTCCTCATTTTACCGACCTCAGAAGGATGAAAGGCTGAGTCAACCTTGAGTCGGTCAGGATCAAACTCCTGGCAGTGAGTGAGCAGTTAAGTTAGCCTGCAATGCTGCATATCCTAAGCTCTGTGCCACCACGGCTCAGAAAGATATGGGATTTAATTCAAAATGGCAACGCAGTTGTCTTTAACATAATACAAGCAAACACTCAATGTACAATCAATATAAAGATTATATTAGTAGAACTACGCTATATTAGCGACAAATCCCTTTTCCAGCAGACTGGGAAACAGGACACAAAGGAAAAACAATGTCTAACAACATGCCTCACCCAACAATTTATTTTTTTTGATATCGTGGTAACTTTGAATGGTTGTTAAACAAAGCAGTCAGTAAGCGAGGGCTATCTGTTCTGTCTCTACTCCAATTTGGCTGTAGGTCAAGCTCCACTACATTGTTGCAGCATCAAAGTTTGCATATGGTTAAATTCACCAGTCATGTATCTTATGGTTTAAGCATGATTTGCTACCTGGGCAACATTCTAAGATAAAAATAATGGCTTACCAACCACAACAGCTGTGCTTCTACAACATGCTGAGCCAAAATCAAACAAACCACATAATATCTTAGCTCAATACATATGGCTCTTCCAATTTCCAATAATTTCATCTCCATGTTCAGCTTTTCAGAAGACAGAATATAACACTCTTTGGTTTTCTTGAGGGATGATGCTCATTATAAATGCATCTAACATTTTTAAGTTTTTACTGTCTTGTGTACTTCCTCAAATAATTTTTTAGCAGCTTCAAATCCCTTACATGATCATATGCATTACACTTAGTAACTGCGAAACTGTAATATTTACAATTCCTACCTGTTCCTCATTAGCAGCCAGAGTCTGAATTTGACTTTCAAGAGCTTTTATTTGGCCTTCAAGCTGAACTTCCCTTTCCTTGCTATTTTGGTAGAGTTTTTGACTTTCTTGGAGACTAAGATACATGCCATCCTTTTCATCTTTAAAAAAGAAAAAAAAAATACATCACTGTGCAGTTACTTTTTAACATTTGCAGCATACCCTTTTCAGGAAGGAAAAAAAAACCTAAAATAGAAGAGTGTACATACATGTGTGTGGGAACAAAACATAAATTTGCACCTTTTTTCAGAATTCATTATTCATAAATGCATAAACCTCAAATTTATAGCATTTAAGAAAACATGATTATTTATTACTCAAAATAGCTAGTGAATGAAGTTTGAAGAAATGTTCCATATATAATAAACAAGCTAGCATCTTTAATCCAAAAGGATATCTGTACTCAAGCAAGCAAGCACTAAAAGATTTAGTCACTCGTTTTAGGAGGCAATTCTCCCAAATCATCACTGTAGATCACACAAAGTAGCACATTCAGTCATTGGGGTGGGCTGGGGTATCCTGTTATGCATTGATTTTTTAAAAAAGAAAAAATACCGACTGTGCAACCACCTGTCTTAAATTTAGCATAAGCAGAAAGGGCTTACTTATTTCTCACAAGATTTGCTACATTTCAAACATTGTTTCTCATCAATCAACAACAAGAAAGCTTAAGTGGGTTTAAAGTTAATAAAAGAAGTTAACAAGTGGGTTTAATTTTAACAAAATGAGTGAAGGAAAACAGGAAGCCTCCTGCATCAGTTCTGGATTAGGGTCTCCTGCTTCAGTAGAGGGATGGACTAGAACAAGGGTGTCAAATTGCTCGCCCACGGGCCAGATGCGTCACTAGGAAGCCGTGCTCACCCCAGCTTTAGCAAGGGGAAAAAAGTCGTGATACGTCGTGACACGTCACGTGACGAGTTTGACATCCCTGGACTAAAAGATGCCTTCCAACTGTTACCCTGTGATTACATCATATGACAGAAGTTGAAACTTCTGCCCAAGTATACTTCTGCAGTCTCGTCTTTAAGACATACTTACCTTTCATAATTGCAAGCTGATGGGACAGGTACCTAATCTGCTGTGCTCTTTCTTCCAGCTGGTTATTAAGTTCTCCTAAAGTTCTTTCTTTTGCTTTATTGAGAATCTGAAGCTGAAGAATCTTCATGTTCTCTGAAGAACCTGCAACTCACACCAGGTTTCCACACGTCAGGCATAAAACACACAGGATTTTCTCAACCAAATACACAATTCAATGAAATTCCCCAGGGCAAGAATTTCTTCGTGACAGAAGTACGTAAGTCTTGCTGGACAAACTTTGCTACTGTAGATACTTCTTTTAAATTACAGTAGTGGCCAAAATTGTAGAAACTTAAAATTTGTCGTTTTAAGTTAGTGTTAAGATAGAGATATATAAAACTGTATGTTAGTATATGGAGAAACAGATTAGAGACTGTATTGTATAGAAAAATATGTATATAGAGAGATTAAGAATTATATGTATGATGAGGAACAAATTGTTAGGAATATATACACTGGAATGTTACATTATGTCCATCTTTGTTTTAACTGTTTTATAAATAAAAAACTATTTTTTAAAAAAAAAAAAATTGGCCACTGTTGTATGTACTGCAGTTTACAATTAAGCAGCAGCAGCAGGTGAGAAATGCAGTTATTTATTCCAAGGTTAGAGACTCACTCAAAGCATTGTAAGTTGCTGGCAATTTGCGTGCTTGGAGAAACACGAAAAGCCTTTTGCCAGGCTCACAAAAGAAGAGATGAAAACCTTCATACCAATTACCTGATTCAGCAACAACAACAACAAAAAAACCCTAAGTTTCTAGCATCAACACGTATAATGAAAAGCATATACTTACTTTCCCCAGTAGCTAGAAATTCTTGTTGCATTTCTTCAAACGCTGCTGCCTCTGATGAAATAGGGGCTGCTTTTTGAGCACTCTTCTGGTAGGCTTTATACACAACTTTGTAAGGCTCTAAAGACTGGCCGTTGGTTTCCGAACCACCGTACTGCAACTTTAACAACACAAACCATCTTTTAAGTGCTACGGACTTGCCTAGTTGTGATTCTAAAGCACCGATCGGTTGATCGTGTGCCATTTATCTGTTTTGTTATGAAATGTATTTGCCGCCCATCTCGTGTCGAATGACCGTCAATATCCGCTCTTAGCGACCACATACATTTTTCTTCACAATGCCCGTAGTAAAAACAGATCGTGGGAAATATAGCCGAGTTCAAATAGGACGCCCAAGCGATTCACGGATCGTTCTTTACAGAAAATGAAAATGTTTTTCTGCATAGCAAGGCAAAGTACCAGGTAGTCCTCATCTCACAACCGTTTGTTTAGTGACCATTAAAAGTTACAACGGCACTGGGGGGAAAAGTGACTTATAACCGTTTTTCACACTTACGACCGTTGCGGCATTCCCCAAGGTCACGTGACCAAAATTCAGAGGCTTGGCAACTGAATTTCAGACACTTGACTCGTATTTATGACGGTCGCAGTGTCCCAGGGTGACACAATCTCCTTTTGTGACCTTCTGACAAGCAAAGTCAATGGGGGAAGCCAGATTCACGTAATAACTGTGTTACTTAACAACTGCAGTGATTCACTTAACAACTGTGGCAAGAAAGGACATAAAATGGGGCAAAATTCACTTAATGTCTCGCTTAGCAACAGATACTTTGGGCTCACTTGTGGTGATAAGTTGAGGACTACCTGTACTAAAATCAGAGATTTTTATTTAAAAAAATGTATGAAGCCCGCTGGGGCCTACGATCATTCTTGGAGATGAGTGTGATGCCAGAAGCTGTAGCATGTCAGTTTCCTATTTTTAAAATTACATTTTTTTAAAATAATAATAATAAAAAATTCGAGGCAAAGAACCTAGTGATCACCACTGGGGTGTCCACAGGAACAATAAACCAGGGTCTTAGACCCCACCCAGGCTACATCAGGATGAGTTCTTCTTCAAACAAGACTAATTTTGTACTCAAAAGTCGTGAGTGGACAATGCATAAGCTGGAAGTCCATTTTAGCTTCATTCTAGAACAGTGTTTCTCAACCTTGACAATTTTAAGGCATGTGGACTTCAACTCCCAGAATTCCACAGCCAGCAATGCTGGCTGTGGAATTCTGGGAGTTGAAGTCCACATGCCTTAAAATTGTCAAGGTTGAGAAACACTGTTCTAGAATGTAACTAATTGCTACAACAGGAAAACTGGGACCCAACTAAATAATGAAGTGTCACCCACAGACGCACCTTCAAGGGTTCCTGCGGAGGATCAACGAAGTTTGCCACGAGGCCATGCTGGTTACTGAAGTCTTGCTGGAGGCCATTTGTGAAGGCTCGAAAATTGGGCGGCAGATCGTAGATCCCGTTTTGTGGGTAATGGCTGGCTGCTTTGTAGTCCTCTCCAAAATAGGCCCCTTCAGATCCGTTTTCACTGGCCCTGCTAGAGATCTCCAACAAGCTTTTATCTTCAGCCTCACGGTGATGGAAAGGCCAGTCACTCGCACGCATTTCACTTGGGATGTTTCCTTGGTCATACACAAAGCGGTCGACAAACACATTCTGGTCCTGCCCATAATCCTGAGAATAAACAGTTTTAGTGATTACTAGCGGACACTCTCCCAGTCTCCGTTAGGTAATGTGACTAGTGTTAACATGCTAGTCGTGTGAATAAAAGAAGGAACATGTTGAGGTTAGGGAACAGGAACTAATAAAATGCTAAATTCACTCATTTATTAAATGATCCTTCCACTGAAGATGACTCCGAGCATAACTGAGCAGAGGGTTGGACTAGAAGACCTCCAAGGCCCCTTCCAGCTCTGTTATTCTGTAATTGCCAGGATAGCAACCAGCATAAAAGCTCTCCAGTGCAGCATCAAGAACCAAGAGTATTATTATCTATCATTTCAGAAACTTAACAGATTCCTCCATGCCTTCAGCAGTGACAGAGCTTCTAATCTACTGCCTTCCCTGGAAAAAGTGGGGCTACATTCAGAGACATATCTGCTTTGGGAATAGCCAGTGTTGGGCTATCTAGCATAGGAAATGTTTGATAAAATTGGCCAAATTTCAATTCTGTGAGAGCCCTGGGTCCCAGATTTTGGATGCATTCTGTGAGTTAACCGATCTGAGGTACCTTGGTTCAAAGTTTGTTGCCTGACAGTGCACCATTTCACCCTGTTAAAAGTTACATACTGTAGACAAACAGGAGAGAGGAGAGACAGACAGATAGAAAGATATTGATGGGTGACAGAGAGATACAGAGAGATATAGATAGATATGAATAACTGATGAAAGATGATTGATAGATGATAGATAGATAGATAGACGATAGAGAAATCAGATAAATTAGAGATGATAGATAGATATACAGACAGACAGATAGATAGATGATGGATGGACAGATAGAGAAATCAGATAAATTAGAGAGATGATAGATAGATAGATAGATAGATAGATAGATAGATAGATAGATAGATAGATAGATAGATAGATAGATGGATGGATGGATGGATGGATGGATGGATGGATGGATGGATGGATGGATGGATGGATGGATGGATGGACGGACAAACAGACGATAGAGAAATCAGATAAATTAGAGATGATAGATAGATAGATAGATAGATAGACAGAGATAGATGATGGATGGACAGACAGAGAAATCAGATAAATTAGAGATGATAGACAGATAGATAGAGATAGATAGATAGATAGACAGATAGATAGACAGATAGATAGACAGACAGATAGATGATGGATGGACAGATAGAGAAATCAGATAAATCAGAGAGATAGATAGATAGATAGATAGATAGATAGATAGATAGATAGATAGATAGATAGATAGATAGATAGATAGATAGACGGACAGACGATAGAGAAATCAGATAAATTAGAGATGATAGATAGACAGATAGACAGACAGATAGATAGACAGACAGATAGATGATGGATGGACAGATAGAGAAATCAGATAAATCAGAGAGAAGATAGATAGATAGATAGATAGATAGATAGATAGATAGATAGATAGATAGATAGATAGATAGATAGATAGATAGATAGATAGATAGATAGATGCACCGTATTCAGCTTCTAACAAATCAGACAGAACAATATTTTAACATTCATTTTGGATGAGTTGGGAAATCTTGCAACTCAAATTAAACTCACACTTGGTGGGTTTGTTGCAACGGGGTGGTCGTTCCATTGGGCGGCATCCTGGTCCCAGGGTTCATGCCCTCTGTGCAGAAAAGAAAGGGGGGTTTAGAAACCCATTCATTTGCATAGTCTCATTGTGATGTGGCATACACAGGGTAACTACATTTTTCTTGTTAGCTCTCAGAAGATAATGTGCGCACCGCTCGAATGCACTTATCTGGGACACTACACAGCCTCTTTACGACCTGTTTTCCTTGTTCCCTTCTGGGAGGGGGGAGGGCTTCGTGATATCCGTAGCAGAACAACCAGATTCAGCCAGAGTTTCATTCCATACAGCATTAACCTTGCGAACTCTCAAGCTTCCTCCTTCCGTTATATATTCAAGATGGACAGTATTTAATATTTCTTTGCTACGTATATGTAGGGGTGTGGGTCTATACATATGTTGTTCATAGTATGTTTAGGTGTGTGTCATGTATGTGTTTCACTTTGAGGGCGGGCAAGTAAATTTCATTTTTGATGTGTGCCGTTGTGCCCACAGTAAAAAAAAAATGACAATAAAGGTTATCTTATCTTATCTTTTGTCATTCCAACATTTTTCAGAGCAAGGAGAGAGAAGTGAAGAAATTCTTACTGCTCATGTTCTTCGGGGGCACTGTAGTCAGAAAGCTGATCTCCGCTGTCTTCGAGCATGTCATGAGGAAGGTCCGTCAGTAGCTGTTGTAGCTGAAAGGAAAATATAAATATGGGAATAAGAGACAAATATCTAGTACTGAAACATACCTCGTCTACTCTCTAGACCAGGGATAGTCAACCTTGGCTCTTTTATGACTCGTGGACTTCAGCTGTGCTGGCTCAGGAATTCTGGGAGTTGAAGTCCACGAGTCATAGAAGAGCCAAGCTTGACTACCCCTGCGTCTAGACTTTAATACCAGAGGAATTTGCATTAAAAAATCTTAACAATGTAGCTACAAAGTCAGTCTAATGATTGCTATTTGTCTGTTCAACTACAGATGTTTCTTAGAGAGCACAGATAATTCAAGCAAGCAAGGAAGGAAATTAGGGATCTTAAAAGAGTCATTCTACAAATACATTTATGAAAGCTGGCCAATTGCACAACTAGCACACAGGCGGCTTTGAGAACTGTGTTTTAATCAATAATTCAAAAGAGCGGATCCGTTTTCAGTTTTCTATTTCTTCCCAGGAGATCCAGCTTGGAGAACTTTATTTCGATCAACTTGCTCAATACGACATACTGCTACCAGGGATATTTTAAAGAACCCTGGTGGCGCAGTGGTTGGAATGCAGTATTGCAGGCTAACTCTGCCCACAGCCTGGAGTTCAATCCTGATTGAACTCAAGATTGACTCAGATTTCCATCCTTTTGAGGTCGGTACAATGAGGACCCAGATTGTTGGGAGCAACAGGCCGACTCTGTAAACCGCTTAGAGAGGGCTGTAAAGCACTGTGAAGCGGTATATAAGTCTAAGTGCTATTGCTACGAGCCAGGATACGCAATTAAAGTACCTCTGATTAACTATTTCAGTCTCAGAAACAATCAGGAACACTAGGGTAAGCCAATCTTAATTCTTTCGTATGAGCTTTCCCTTCCCCAGTAGTGCTGATCCCGCTTCTCAATCACATAGCAGCTCTCTGTCTCACACCAAAACACTGCTTAGCCCAGGCATTGTGAGACAATGGCAATTAATGCAGTTCAGTGTATTTTTTAAGCACTGGCCTTTGACTGCCAATAAGCTTCAAGCAAGCTGTTCAGTTTGTGAACAATATCAAGGCATGTATTAAAATCAAGGTATCGTTGGGAGAGACGGTCTCTCAAATTCGAAGTAGATGCTAATAATCAACTTGCATTTTTTTAAAGCAGAAGCTAGTGTGGAAACAGTACCAAATCTGCACAGGACTAGTCTTTGGGGAGGAAAGGCAACAGATGCGTTCATGTACAAGTAGTCCTTGACTTACAACAGTTCATTTAGGGACCGTTCAAAGATACAACGGCCCTGAAAAAGTGACTTACAACAGTTTTTTCACATGACCGTTGCAGCATCCCCCTATGGTCCTGTGATCAGACGCTTGGCAACTCACTCACATTTATGATGGTTGCAGTGTCCTGGGGTCATGTGATCTCACTTTGTGACCTTCTGACAAGGCAAGTCACTTAACAACTTACTAATTTAAAAACAGCAGCGATTCACTGAACAACTATGGCAAGGAAAGTCATAAAATGGGACAACACTCACTTAACTGTCTTGCTTAGCAACCGAAATTTGGCCTGAATTGTGGTTGTAAGTTGAGGACTGCCTGTATTATGTCTTATCTCAGAATGAGCAGGAGTAAATATCTTTCGGTACTATCTTTCCACCCCTGTTCCCTCCCTTTCAGCTATTCACTCTTCAGTTTTCTTTGAGCAAATTAAATATATTTTTTAAGAACCTTCTGTACTTACTTGGTGCAAAGACTCCTGAATAGAATATACCTGTTCTTCTAAACCTTCTGTGAGATTTTGGTACATAGAATGGATTTCAACTAATACATCTGTGCAGTACATTCTCTTTTTCTCACAACATTACTAGAAAACTGTATGTAATAATATAAACCGTTATCACATTATCATTTCTTTCCAATGGTTTATTAACTGGGGGAAAAAGCAGCAGCCTAGAAATAAGATGAGGACAAACTAGAGAAATAAACTTTATCTGGATCTGGAAAAGTTCCTCTATTATCAAAATCTGGATAACTCCTAGCACCAAAATTAGCAGGAAAATCACTGACCTTTCTAATTATTTTCAAATAAATCTTATTGCACACTAACACAATTAGCCTCAGCACCATCTAAAACAAAGTCCTGCCCTATCTTTATTAGCCTTTGCTTTTATTTATACACTAATTATAATGAAGTAAGAAGAAAAAAAATCAACTTTATGCCAACTACATCAGCAAAGATACCACTCCATAATTCTCTGGGATCAAATCTATTCAAACAGCTTTGCTAAAATAAAATATATCTACAGGGATTTCTGTGATATATTAATCTTTCTAATGTCCTGTACCAAAAATATAAAATGTTTAGAGGAATCTCTAGGATGCAGCAAAATGCTTAACAATAGACATTTCCCCACTAGACCTAGCTTTCACAGAATAAAATTAAAACTTGTAAAACACACATACTGAACTACTATATAAAACACCATACAGTGTTTCCTTACTACCCACATTACTAAATACTCCAGACAAGAGGCATAATTCAGATTTGTTGCAACAGCAGATAATCTGGAGGTGTACAGCTTTAGTCAGAAGAAATGAGCAAGGGATTTTATTCAGACGAAGCTTTTTTAAAGGAGCAGTTCCAATAAGGCTGACATCATGCAAAACCAGAGTAAATTCAAGCAGATTATGACATCACAGAAACATGTCTTTCCAAGACAACAACAGCTTTAATGAAAAATAGGAGAGAAGGAAGCTAAAACCATTAAAGTTTTGCCAACAGGTAATTTTTACCTCTTGCTCCCTAGCATAATCCTCTTGATCATATTCGTCCTCTTCATGTTGCATCTGTAAAGCTGCACTGTCAAAATCCAGCGACATCATTCACAAGTTGTTCCTTGGGCCCACCTGGGAAAAATAGCTATTTTAAAATTCGGTGTGCATTGAATTAACCCTATAAGTAAGGCTTTGGTAAAAGAATGCCAAATCCAGTGTACATTTCAGTCCACAATTATTTTGTAACTCTTATTTTGTTTCCTACAATTTTTAATCACCAAGTTCTTGTGTCATCTTGATTTTCAGGGAACTTTGTGCAGGCAGATATAGGTGTTTTTGAACAAGTCACACTTGTTCAAAAACAGGAGCTATATCAAAAATTGTCCCCTCCCAATTCATGGATCCCTTATTTATATATCAATAACCAGTTTTATTGGATTAAAAGTGGACTATGTTATTACCTTATTTGTGAAATAAAATACAAATAGTTTCTTGTGTCAAGGTGCAGAAGGTTAACTGAATCCTTCTGGTTTACTTAGGATGCAAAGAGGCTAAAAACTAGAATCTGGTAAAATTAAATCAAGAAAGTTGCCAAACAAACTCAGTTCCATGGATCTCCTTCAGATGCAGCTTGAGAACAGTAACAGTAGCCTGTTTTAACTCATAACAGTGGCTATTTCTTATTATGCGGATTTTGGCTTTTTCTTAGATGTTGGACACCTATCTGGAATCCTTTGGGATTGCGGTGGATTAGAAATACAGTAAAATTAATTATTATCTACTGGCTTTAATTAAATTACTATAAAAATAATTGATAAAAATTTTCATCTGTCAATTACAAAAGATCGCAGTTTGGATCTGCATATCATGCCAATGAAGGCCAACACCAGACAAAGAGCTGGCAGCTGTGATTTCACAATGCGGTCCATATAATAATATATCTGGCTGACTGTGCAATCAACCATAATAAATCACAACGGTGGGAATAGACGAGAAAGAACTGGAGGGGAAAACAATCACAAAATAGACCTGCAAATAGACATGGAACACCTGTGGCCAAAGACAGCAAAGGTAGCAAAATAGCCATAGACACCTTGGGTGCAATCCCAAAACATCTGGAGCACCACTGGCATTGGCAAAAATCGCCATCCCTCCACTGCCAAAGGCAAATTATATTCAGAATAGCTTATATCCTGAGTGGAAACGTTTAACACCATTAAAACATCCACATCTGCCTATCCCAGGTCCTTGGAAAGGGCGTAGTAGGTGGATGTATGTTGTATATACAGTAGTATGTGTTAAATGTATTATGTGTACACTTTGAGAGGAAGCAACTAAATTTCATTTTTAAAGTGTGCCATTGTGCCCAGAGGAAAAAAAATGACAATAAAGGCTCCATCCATCCATCCATCCATCCATCCATCCATCCATCCATCTATCTATCTATCTATCTATCTATCTATCTATCTCTACCCCCTCTTTATATCTATCTATCTCTACCCATCTATCTACCTCTACCCCCTCTTTATATCTATCTATCTATCTATCTATCTATCTATCTACCTACCTACCTATCTATCTCTACCCCCTTTATATCTATCTATCTATCTATCTATCTATTACCCCCTCTTTAAATCTATCTCTACCCCCTTTTCTATCTATCTATCTATCTATCTATCTATCTATCTATCTATCTATCTATCTATCTATCTATCTATCTATCTATCTATCTACCTACCTACCTATCTATCTCTACCCCCTTTATATCTATCTATCTATCTATCTATCTATCTATCTATCTATCTATCTATCTATCTATTACCCCCTCTTTAAATCTATCTCTACCCCCTTTTCTATCTATCTATCTATCTATCTATCTATCTATCTATCTATCTATCTATCTACCTACCTACCTCTACCCCCTTTATATCTATCTATCTATCTATCTATCTATCTATCTATCTATCTATCTATCTATCTATCTATTACCCCCTCTTTATATCTATCTCTACCCCCTTTTCTATCTATCTATCTATCTATTTTTAAAAATGCCAAATCCACTCTGAACATCTGGCCCTGATACGGCCTAGCCATAATATCCCATCCTCCCAGATGAATAACTGCCCCTTTTTCCTATTGACATCCCCTACATTTCCCCCCCCCCCGTACCGGAAAGCGCATGCGTTGTTCTCACGACAGTGAAGGTTCTAGTCCGCAGTGAGCAAAATATATATATATATATATTATTAAAGAAAAACTGCCCGTGGTGGAATTTTTTTTTTTACGTTTCTCCGAATATTGGTAGTCAGGGAAAAACCACGAAGCGCCGCGTGAGAAAGAAAAGCGCCCCGAAGGGGAGGTCGAGGCCTCGTTTCCATAGCGACGCCCAGTAACCGTCACCCTCTTCCTCCGGGGCCCTTCAGCAGCCCAGCCGTCCACGTTCCCCGGAGCCCGGGCCTCACTCACCACCCACCCCGCCTTGACCACGAGCAGCCCGGCCGACTCACCTTCTCGCCGGCGCTTCGCATCCCCGTCCGAGGACCCTGTTTTTTTTCCTTCCCTTCCGTGTGACAACCGAACCCGCTATTCGTTCGGGGAGGGGTTTGTGCTTGTGGACAACGCGTCCACCCAATGAGACGGCACAGCATCCAATAGGGCCACGATTGGAGCGCAGGGGAAGGCGGAGCTTTCGCTTCTCTCCCCCCCCTTAAACAAGTTCGGTTGCCCCGCGCCGCTCTATTGCTTTTGAAAGCTGGCGCGGGCGGTGGCGGGAAGAGAAAGCTGTTCGGCGATTGGCTGGCAGGTTTAGCCAATCGGGAGAGTGAGGGGCGGGCAAATTAAAAGTCCTTTAAATTGAACGCTCTTATTTAACAAAATAAATAATAACTTGAGATTCATAAAGCAAAGCGAACAACACACTAAGGCGTAGATCAGGATTTGTTTTTTTAAATTAAAGCAACTTTAAAAGGAGTGGACTTCAACTCCCAGGATTCCCCAGCCAGAATTCTGGGAGCTGAAGTCCACCCCTCTTAAACTTCCAAGTCTGAAAAATATTGGCATAGATTTAAAAACCACGCATGCCGAGTTCATGTATCTTGAGCTCCAGAAGTGAAAAAAAAAAAAGGTGGTTTTCAATACATTAAAAAATTCACTTGAACTACAGTATCTCATACTTTTATTAACAATAACTAAATGTAAAGGTAACTTCTTGTTATCCTTGAGCAAGCGGAATCAAGCATCTTCACTAGGGTGTCCATAAATTATTCACGGCTTTATCCTTAAATATCTTGCCCACCCATTTTAACATGTTAACGCAGAGGTCTCCAACCCCCGGTCGGTGCACCAGTACCGGGCTGCAGCATGCCAGCAACTGATCCGCACAAACAAGCAAAGCCCCATCTGCAGGATGCAGGCAGCACACAAAACCACGCACCCTCATTGCAGCATCCCCATGGTCATATGATCAAAATTTGGGCTCAATAGGAAACAATGCCAATATTTTACCACTCATCCTAACCTCCCTGCGATTTTTGTAATTATTTTGCTGATAGATACACTAGACCAGGCGTCCCCAACCTCGTGGACCAAGACCAGTACCAGACCGCGGCAACCGGTCCGCACAAACAAGCAAAGCCCCATCCGCGACATGCAAGCAGCACACAAAACCACGCACCCTCTGGTCCGTGGAGAAACCTCCCTCCACGGACTTCTGTGTTAATGGATTCCCTGAATGGAATATATTTCACCAGTGGACAAATCTTTTAATTTCCTGCCAAGGAAAAAATAGCTATTTTTTTATGGCGGTCATGAACTATCATAGAAAATAAAAATACATGTAATATAATCAAAACGTCAATGTCTGTCTGGACTGCCTTTCAAGGCTATTTGAGATGCTATTGTGACAATTTGATGATATGCCAAATTCTCCCCTCTCCTCTGAGGGTCCCAATGGAGCAATGAAACATAACTAGAAAAATATTGCTTCTGGTTAAGTGGACTTTGAAAGCAGCATGAGAAATACATATATCCGCCAAGGATGTTCCATCTGCTGAGCTAAATAACATTGTAACTATAAAACCCTCCTCCGATTTTTGGGCTAAATATTGCCTTTTAACTGCAACAGCCTTGTTGGATCCAAACAAAACTGGATGACAAAAATGACAATCTGAAGAAAATGTTTGACACCCATATAAGATCCTTTCCAGAGTTGTTGTTAGTTGCGAAGTCATGTCCAACCCATCGCGACCCCATGGACAACGTTCCTCCAGGCCTTCCTGTCCTCTACCATCTTCTGGAGTCCATTGAAGTTCACGCCTACTGCTTCAGTGACTCCATCCAACCACCTCATTCTGTGTCGTCCCTTTCTTCTATTGCCCTCCATCTTTCCCAGCATCAGGCTCTTCTCCAGTGAGTCATTTCTTCTCATTAGATGGCCAAAGTACTTGAGTTTCAACTTCAGGATCTGGCCTTCTAAAGATTAGTCGGGGTTGATCTCTTCTAGGAGTGACCGGTTTGATCACCTTGCAATCCAGGGGACTCGCAGGAGTCTTCTCCAGCACCATAGTTCAAAGGCCTCCATTCTTTGGCGCTCAGTCTTTCTTATGGTCCAACTTTCATAGCCATACATTGCAACTGGGAAAACCATGGCCTTGACTATATGTTTCCAGAGATAGAGAAAGCAAATCACCCTCAGCAAGCTATGTTAGTTTTTTTTTTAAACTGAAGAAAAGATTAAAGCAAAATTTATTGTTTATAAAACTTAATAGTTGGCTGCACTTACACTTTAAGCCAAATGCAACCTAAGTGATGGCTTAGTAAATACAAAAGTACAGTATCCATTTGCTCGATCCTTCCTCTTTTCGTTTACACCCATATTACATCTCCCTGACCACTGATATTACTAATCACTCAACATGTTACACATTGATCGTTTTTCATTTGCCAAGCTGTGCCTTGAAAGTGGGGCAGAAACCATACTCCTGAAAACAGGTCCACAGACAAAATTTATTTGCAAACGTTACGATTGTAAAGAGGAAACTGATGTTGTATGTATAACATTCAAATTTCCAGGGGTTAGAATTAAAGGAGATAATTAGAAGTCTATTGCTTGGCCAACTTTTATAAATATGAATTTGATGGCACTGTGCTAGTGTGTGTGTGTGTGTGTGTGTGTGTGTGTGTGTGTGTGTGTGCGCACATATATATAAATTTGAAGATACACTGAGAAAACTCTATTTCATGTCTATCTGTATCGCGTGCAATGCAATATTAAAGATGTGCATTTAAAAGTAAAATCCATTCCTGATACAGCTTAATAAACCACAATGGACCAGTACTTAACTGCTTGCTTTTAAGCAGATAAACAAGCTAAGAAAGGACATCTTTACATGATGTCTGAATTTAGGATTATTTTTGAGTCCGTGCAAATGCTTGTGATTGGCTTAAAATCTAGATTTTGGCCATAATTTCAACATCACACCTCTCTTCTTACACACTGCCAGGAATGAATCAGCTCAGTGCAGGAACTCATTGCTTGTTAGCATCCTGATTTATGAAGCCAGGATTCCTGGCTTAAACTGGCATGCAAGAATATACTTGAGATTAGTAAAACTCAGCCAAGGTGAGGGTGCTTAAGTGTTCACTTCAGAAATTCAAGCGCTTGTCCAGGTTAACTGCTGTTGGTATGGGGTTGGATTAGAAGACTTTACAATCTCTTCCAACTTTATTGATTCTATTTTGTGATTTTTGAATCTGCCCTCAAGAGCAAAAGCTTAACATTGCTTTAAACAATGCTGGATTCATTGATAACATTCACGTTTCTTTTCAAAGCTGCAAGGAATAGATTTGCAGAAATCTCTTTCTCTCCACGATATATAAATAACAGAAACACTGCAGGTATATTGATTTACAGAATATTTCCAGTTGAAAACACATACAGGGATAATGCGGCACAAATGTTTATTTAAAAAATTCTTTTCTTAACTAATAGGAATAAATGAAACCCGATCCCCAAAAATGCGGAATGAAGGAAAATAGAAAGCGTGCAATAAAAAAATGAAATAGCTTCTGAACAAAACAATGTATTTCCTCACCCAGAAATAATAATGTAGGATTGCTTTTTTTCCTTTCCAAACTATATGCAACTATCATTTTTATTTTTGCTGGTCCAGTTTCAGTGTCTTTACCTACAGGCCAGTAGGCAAACATTTTGCAGATTAAGTTTTTGGTAACCCTTTGGCATCCTGGTAGAACTGCATTATTCAATAGACCTACTTAAGAAAGCTATATTTACCACATTGTTAGCATCCGTTTCAAAATGATAACTAATTTTCCATATATAAACTTAGTAAGCACTGCAGCCTCATTTAAAAACCAGCAACCTTATAACTAGGCCAATGAGCAGTTAGCATCATTATTCCATCAGATAGATTGGTGGAGATTTTTAATAATAAAATGTGCTTATTGCTGACTGGAAATCCCTTAGATTTTTTTTTTTTGTGCATGAAACAGAAAAAAAATGAATTTATGATTTATGGTTTTGATGATTAGATAGAATAAATTATAGGGAAAAAAGAAGTATATTGTAACCATAGAGCAAGAGGTAAATTTATAATTGTACTTATAAGTGCTTCAAAGCTACTTCTTCGTGTAACTTTTTTCTTTCTTTTTCTATTCGTCTACTTTTTTTCTTTCATGCACTTTTAGCTCGCTCTTTCTCTTCTTTTCTTTTTCTGAGTCTATATTCATTTCTACGAGTCTTCCTCTTCTAATTCTTAAAATCTTTTAATAGAAGTATATTTTCCAAAATATACTTGAGCTTGATGCCTGTTGACGTCACGGATATACAAATGTCATTTCCTTGGCAGCAAGAGAGACGTGGTTTCATGGTCCTTCTTCAGAACGTTTTCCGAGATCCCAGTCCAAGCTACAGTCCTGAGATTTCCTTGTGGTCTCTCATCCGAATGCAAATCAGGTTCGATCTTTCTCAAGCTCCTCGAAATCAGCCCAGGAACGACTCAAATAAATTTATCAGCTAAAAAAAACCTCACAGCTCAGTTAAAAATATGAGTCATTTCCCAAACCTCCTACGTTAAAAGGCACATCTTCAAGTAGGTTTTGCTCCGGGAAGTTTGGCTTGTGCTTTGACACCTTTTTATGATCTCTCAAAAAATGTTTTGTGAGTACCTCTGGCCCCTGATTTCTGCCCAGCCTCTTGGTCTCTCCAGGGATATGTTTCGCTAAACTAAAATACTTGTCACTGGTCAGATGCAACATAGAGATGTGATTAGGTCAATGTTTCTCAATCTGAGCCACTTCAAGACCTTTGGACTTCAACTCCCAGCATTTCCCAGTCAGTCATGTTGACTCAGGAATTCTGGGAATTGAAGACCACACAATGTAGTTGCTGAAGTTGAGAAATACTGACTTAGGCAAATGCATTGGACGTAGACATACAAACACACACACACACACACAAAGAGAAGAATTCATCTGTAACCTCATCTAGAGGTGTCTCCTATTCTTTGTCGAATTGTGGGCGCAGGAAATGAGTCCAGAATAGTCACTAGGGATATTGAGGAGGCTGTGACAAAAGAATTATCTTGAAAAGAACGTGAGTCAACAAAATTAGTCCTTAGAACGCAGTTGCCCCAATTCTTTTCTTACAGGCTGGTTGAGCCTTAATTCACGTCCAGAAGAGATGATTGGCAATTTGTTTTCCATATGGGAGCGGATAAGATGATCCACACTATCGAATATATGATCTTTGGTTCTGACCTGGAAAAAAACAAAGAGCATCCAAGAATTCAGTAAGTTAGAAGTCCTCAAATTCTGCAATATTGTCAGCCTTTAAAGGATAACATGAACACCTAAAAGATGTTAAGGATTTCATTAGTGTTAAGGTAGGGAAGAAATCGATATGCCACTTACTTGTATGTATTTGATATATTTATGTAACAAATAAAACTTGAATAGGATCGCTTTGTAAAGTCATTATCAAGTGGGTTTTTTTTAACTGATGAATGGGTCTTGTGGTTTGAAAATGATGGCCTACAAATATAACTAAAGAATCTAATCACACATCATATTTATTTGAAACACACTAAAAAGAGACTAGGTTTATTTTATTTATTTTTTTGTACATTTGCAACTTTCCTGGAGCGTAGCAACCTTATGGATTTTTTATGAATGTTTACTGGAACATGGCCCCAAGTCCATGTTTTGATATTAAAAGTATACTATGTTATAGTCGACTAGCAATTCAAGGCAGGAGCATCCACAAGGGGAGAATGGGCCCCCCAAAAAAGGCTTTAGGATTGGATCATAATCTACCACATATACCATCTTAATTTTTGTATCCCCTTCATGGATACCCCTGGTTTGAGGGCTCTTAGTATCTTTGAACATCTGGCAGAATGTCTTACTTTATGACCATAGCTTTGAGAGGTCCTTGGTGCTCTCTGAGCTTGGTTGTTTTCTTGCAGATGTTTCAGTAGCCAAACTATGAAACATCATCAGCGCTAGTGATGAGTGTTAGCGATTAGCACTGATGGTGTTGCCTACTTTGGGTAATGAAAGGTCTGCAAGACAACAACCAAGTTCAGAAAGCACCAAGAACCCCACAGTCCTTCTCCTTCTCCACTCCACAAACCCCACTTTCTTCTAGCACTGATGATGCTACCTACTTTGGGTCATGAAACACCTGCAAGAAAACAACCAAGCTCAGAGAGCACCAAGGATCCCTCATTTCAGCTCTGGGCTACAGATATTCACCTTTACTGGGACCATTGTCTTAATTGTTCCTACCTTGCCTTCAGGATCCACCAACAAGAGATGTTTTACTTGTCCTCCTTGCAGTCCACTCAGGACATATTGGCCAGGTGAGGTTGTACTCTCCCGCACCAGGAAGTCTCCGTTGTTTCTTAAGAGATTCTCTGCTTGTCTCCTGGATATCTTCCCGTGATAACATTCTTCATTCCAAAGAGGTGTCTTTGCATCTGTGATGCCTGCGAGGCCTGCCACGTCACTGGATCCTTTCTGCTCTACAGTGTCCAATGCTTCTGAAAATGAAATAGAAGTTAAACAGACCAGCTGTCTGCAGTGTATGAGTTCACCCATCCTAAGTGAGTGGGGTTTATGTCTTGAATAAGCCACAGCTGTCAGGAGGTACACAACAGATTGTGCCCACAGACCTAAAAAGAGCAGGATATTGTAATCCTTTAGTCCAGGGGTCTCCAAACTTGGCAACTTTAAGACTTGTGGACTTCAACTCCCAGAATTCCTCAGCCACCCATCAGTCAGTCACTCGCCCTGATGATGTTACCTAGTTTGGGTCATGAAGCGTTTTGAAGAAAACCACCAAGCTCAGAGAGCACCAAAGACCCCTCATTTCAACCCTGAGCTACAAATATTCTCCTTTATTGGTATAGGTCCTGCCTCAGCTGTAGCTTTTATTCGTTTTAAAGATGGCATGACAGCAGTCTTCCAATAACCTGATGGGCTGTCAGGCAGGAGTGGATTTATGGATGTGGATTTATGAATAGAATGAGAATCAATTGATGTTAGTTTTATGGAAGGAAACACTAAGCTATTGTTATTCTGTAACAGAACAGTTTGGCTCCTCAAGTCTTGGGTGCTCCATCACTGGAGCTTTCAAAGGTTGGGGAGCATCTGAGATACCTGCCCTGAGCAGTGGATTAAATTAGAAGACTCTAAATCTCTTCCAATTTTATGATTCTATTCCATGAAGAATAGAAGTAGCAGGCTTGAGTTTAAATGGACTCCAGAAGATGGTAGAGAACAGGAAGGCCCGGAGGAACGTTGTCCTTGGGGTCGCGATGGGTCGGACACGACTTCACAACTAACAACATTCCATGATTTTAAGTCTGCCCCCTTGGGTCGAAAGCTTAGCATTGCTACAAACTATGCTGAATTTGTCTATAACACTCATGTTTCTTTTCAAAGCTGCAAGAAACAGATTTGCAGAAATAGAAGCAGTCTTGAATAAGGAATTGGATTTGTGGAGGTCTGTTCCGGAGGGAAGATTCTGATCCTACCTGATGTAGCTTGTAAGTTTTGAGTATTGATATATCGAGGCTCGTCAAAAAGATCCACTTTACTGCTACTTTTCAGCAATGGAGCATCTTGATTTGCTGCCTGAGTTGGTTTGCTGATACCTGCAATTAATCATCACAACAAGATCCTTCTTTAGCTTTTCAAAAAAAAAAAAAAAAAACCCAAAAGCATATTCAACAGCACAAAATACCATTAAATGAACCAAATTAATGCAAGTTATTCCACCGAGAAAAGATAAGCATGTCTGATTTCCTAGTATTTTAGTACCTACAAAAGCACTATGTCTAACATGCTGCCTGCCTTAAAGAAATACCCCCGTCAAGGAAACTATCTAAACCACCCCATTCTGACTTAAATACAGTTACTATAATATTATCAATCAATCAGAATAAAGCTGGAGGGGACTTCGAAGGTCTTATAGCCCAGTCTTTTCTTAAAAACCTTCAGAGATGAAGCACCTACAACTTCTGAAGGCAAGGCATTCCACGGGTTAAATTGTTCTCACTGTTAGGAAGTTTCTCCTTAATTCCAGGTTGCTTCTCTCCTTCTGGTGCTTTGGAAAATAAGTCCCCCCCCCTCTTCTTTGTGGCAGCCCCTCAAATACTGGAAGACTGCTATCGTGTCCCCCCCCCCCCAGTCCTTCTTTTCTCTAGACTGGCCATTCCCAAATCCTGCAATTGTTCTTCATATGTTTTAGTCTCCAGACCCTTAATCGTCTTAGTTGCTCTTCCTTGCATGTTTTCCAAAGTCTCGACCTCTTTTCTTTTTAATAATGTGGTGGATTCTAATCAGTGTGATTAGAATTCATTAGAAAAGTGTGGACTGCATTAACATGGATAAGAACACGGGCAGAAGAATATGTAAACAGAGCTAATGAAATAATGATTGGGGGGGGAGGTCAAGGGAAGCATCTTTCTTCCTCTCTTTTGCCTTCTTCCTTACAGATACTTGCAAACGGTTTGCTTTCTACTGAATCCTAGTAGCACCAACTTGAGAAAGTCTCAGGTGGCCCCCAAAAGAAGCCTTGAGGTCCACAAATCTTGACTACTCCCAACGGGTTCTCATGCTGTTTCCAACTTTGATGGCTCCTGGGAGACTCTTTTTGGTGGCTTATGAAACCGGATCAAAATGACAATACCTATTCTAGAATGTGAAGATGTATAAAACCCGCCCAAGAGATGGCAGTTGAACAGAATAGCCAGTGTTGGGATTCAAACAGGTGAACAACTGGTTCTCTGTGTGGATGCTGCTTCCGGAAGTCCATTCTGGGCCTGGGCAACAAAAAATTAGCTACCGGTTCTGCCAAAGTGGTGCAAATTGGCTGAATCCTAAAACAGAAAGGAGGGAGGGAGGGAGGGAGGGAGGGAGGGAGGGAGGGAGGGAGGAAGGAAGGAAGGAAGGAAGGAAGGAAGGAAGGAAGGAAGGAAGGAAGGAAGGAGTGGTGGGATTCAAATAGGTCAACAACTGGTTCTCTGTGTGGATGCTGCTTCCGGAAGTCCATTCTGGGCCTGGGCAACAAAAAATTAGCTACTGGTTCTGCCGAAGTGGTGCGAACTGGCTGAATCCCACCATTGGTCCTGGGGCTTCGTTTTTAGGAAAGAGAACTGAAGATCCAGACGTAGAGTTAAGCATCCCCAATAGACAAACTCAGATTAAAAAGCAAATTCAGTTTAGGTTTGGTAGATTTATGGCAGGGATTCCCAACCGGGGGTGTTCGCACCCCATGGGGGTGCGAGACGATATTCCAGGGTGTGTGAAAATTTGGGTTTAGAAGTTTCAAAATTATAGTGTATATGCATAACCACCACTGAGAATAGCATCTAGTCTTCATCTTTGCTACTTCTCTTTGCCTGTAATTCAGCACCAGGCATCGTGATTCAATGGAGGATGGTTCCTTTTAGTTGGTCTCTTCCTGTATTAGCTATGGGAGACAATGGAGGCAGTTTGAGATTCCAAACAGACTGGATTCTATGATTTCCTTCACTGAGACAGGAAGGCAAGAACCAGCTCTCTGTAAGATACAGGAAACCCACCTGCTGCTCTGTGCTCATCTGGGCAGTTTTCATAAAGCTGCTTAGAACTGGGACTATCGTCCTAAAAAAAGAAAGAAAGAAATACAGAAACAAATTACTCTGAGGAATTCTCAGCAGATCCAGACTCTGAACAACGGCAGGAAATTAACTCAGAATTCAGGTTGATTCTTTCAGAAGGCATAAAATCCATTCTAACGTAAAACCTAGGTTCAACACACGCTGTGATGCTCAACGATGCAGACCACACGCATGCTTACTCCACACTGTTGCTGCTCCGTATGGATGGGACGCTTCATCCCTTCTTCTGGGATTATCTTCAGCCTGACGTCGGACAGCCCACCTACAGGAGGTTCCTTCCCAGGAATTTCATTATAGTATCCGCAGTCTTCCTTCTCTTGAATGTTCCAGGCGGATCCATCAAGACTCATCTCTTCTCTGTGCAAAAACAAGCCAAAGCTGAAACATACAACTTCGGTAGCACCACATTAAGTCAGAGAGTGGTTTATTATTTCTGAGGGGTTCTTGGTGGTCTCTGAGCTTGAGAGTTTTCTGGCTGACATTTCATGACCCAAACTAGCATCTGATGATGTTACCTAGTTGGGTCATAAAATGTCTGCAAGAAAGCAAGCAAGCTCAGAGACCACCAAGGACCCCTCATTTCAACCCTTTATATTCTCCTTTATTATTTCTGTTCTCCATTCCTATAATAATAATAATAATGATGATGATGATGATGATGATGAAGTTGGAAGGGACCTTGGAGGTCCTCTAGTCCAACCTCCTGCTCAGGCAGGAAACCCTATACCATTTCAGACAAATGGCTGTCCAGTTTCTTCTTAAAAACTTCCAGTGTTGGAGCATTCACCGCTTCTGGAGGCAGGTTGTTCCACTGGTTAATTGTTCTAACTGTCAGGAAGTTTCTCCTTAGTTCTAGGTTGCTTCTCTTCTTGGTTAGTTTCCATCTATTACTTCTTGTCCTGCCTTCAGGCGCTTTGGAGAATAGCTTGACTCCCTCTTCTTTGGGGCAGCCCCTGAGATACTGGAAGACTGCTATCATGTTCCCCCCTCGTCCTTCTCTTCATTAAACTAGACATACTCAATTCCAGCAACCATTCCTTATATGCTTTAGCCTCCAGTCCCCTAATCATCTTTGTTGCTTTTCTCTGTATGCTTTCTAGAGTCTCAGCATCTTTTTTACATCGTGGTGACCAAAACAAGGGCTTGAAAAAGAAAAACGCAATCTAGACAATGCCTACAAACAAACACCATAGAAAAAGAAAGACTAGCATTTTAAAAAGGTAAGATTTTAAAATAAGGAAGCCGATCACCACAATGAACTCCTAAAAGCCTTCTCCTCCTTTGGAGCTGTCAAGAAGTCTTAACCTGATCATGAATGAATTGAAGCCCCTTCACATCTTCTCCCAATGACACTGAAATTGGTGAACTATGAGCTACTCCTCAAAAGCTGCTGGGAGAACACTGGAGGAGGACTTCTCTTGTTAAATTTGAAAAAAAAAACCATGGATGAGGATAAGCATAGGAATATAAGTGCTCCTTTCCCCTCCACCCCCCGCCCCCTTTAGAGCATGTCTTCTGAAAAGAACAACTTGTGTTGAGCCTTGCTTTTTAATTCATCAGAACATAATTTGATGAAAAGACAGGAACAGGAAAGAGACATGGGCCATGCAGTTTGATTAGGAGAACATGACTCAAGAATTTAATTATGTGATTCACAGGAACTGGGAATGGCATTTCCCATCTGTTCGTCTCCCAGGGCAGAGGGGGGATCAGCCCGGAATACACAGTATTATTTGCCATCTCAGCCTGGTGCCCTCCAATTGTCTTAGGTTCCGTGTGCCAAAGACCTCTACCGCTCAGACAATATGAATGCCGAAATCCAACGCAACTGGACACTAAGTTGGAAAATAACTCTGATCCAGCTAGCAAAACATTAAGCAATGCGCGGCACAGCAAGTAAAATCTTTCACAGTACGATTGCAAGAAAGCCCTTTTAATTTGAAATCCGTAAATTATTTTCCCTTTCAGAATGGCAAGGTATGGTTAGCCTCATCGTTTAATGTTAACACTGTCAAATAAATGTGAATTTATTTATTTACTAATCCAGCCTGCTGTTCTTCCTCCTGTCTCCAAGGCCACTCCCACATTAGACAGTCCTCGATTTAGGATTACAAATTTCTGTCGTTAAACGACACGGTTGTTAGGAGAGTTTTGCCCCCTTTTTATGAACTTTCTTCTCGTGAATCACTGCAGTTGTTAAGTTAGTAACACAGCTGTTAAGTCAATCTGGCTTCTTTCCCCATTGACTTTGCTTGCCAGGTCGCAAAAGGGGATCACATAACCCTGGGACACGGCAACTGTCTTAAGTACCAGGCAGTTGCCAAGCATCTGAATTTTAATCACGTGACCATGGGGAGACTATAACAGTCATAAGCGTGAGAAATGATCATCAGTTGCTTTTTAAAGGGCTGTTTATGTAAAAAAGGGGCAAGAAAGAGGAATAAGCAATTCAACCAACATCTTTTGTAGATGAGATACATTTCTAAGCTTTTTCCCCTTTCTGTCTATATGATCTGTTTCTGGGCAGTGGAAACACATGTAGACAAATGGATTATCTTGATAACACATTTCAAATTTCTCATACACACCAGGGAGAAACAGAGGAGGAATTTTACAGAGAGTGACATTTGCAAAACTGTGTTCTTTCAAAAAAGCAAGTTAAGGACTTTTACACAAATCAAATCTTAAAATGCAAACTCTACACCTGTTTAGATTCCCTCCCTCCCTCCCTCTCAAATACATGTCATATGTATTGTTTATATTATAGGACTGAAACATTAATTGGTTTACGTTTATTGAAGCTTGGCAGTCACATCCCAAAATATATAGGGCTCTTCAATAAATCTTAACAGCTCCTCGTTCGTATTAACCATAAGCAATGCAGCTAGGTACTCATCAGACAAAACCACATGAAACAAATTTTGAACGTCATTAAACGAATGCTCGTTAAGTCCAGGACTAACTCTGCCGTTCCAGCTGCCTTCCGAAAGCCTTTGCTTACCTTTCCTTGAGAGCCACCAAAGCAGGAGGGGTCTTCAAGAACTGTTTGAACCGGAGCTCAAAAGCTTGTCCAACGGTATTGATGACTTCTTGAGCTATTCCAGAGGGACATTCCAAAATGTGGCATGCTGAAAAACAACGGCCACAAGGAAAAGGGATGTGAAAGGAATATAGGTGGTCCTCGACTCGTGACCACAGCTCAACCCCAAATTTCTCTCGCGAAGCGAGACATCGGTTAAGTGAATTTTGCTCCATTTTTACAAACCTTTCCTGCCCCGGTTCTTAAGTGAATCCCTGAGGTTGCTAAGCTAACACGGTTGTTAAGAGCATCTGGCTTCTTCCCCGTTGACTTTGCTTCTTAGAAAGTCGTAGAAAGGGGATCCTGTGACCCCGGGACACTGCAACTGTCATAGGTACATGCCAGTTGCCAAGCATTTGTCATGTGATCACTTTTTGAGCGCTCACCTTTACAAATGCTTGTATCCCGTCATCACGTGACCATGATTTTTGAGGGTTTTTTTTTTTTTCTGTTTCCAGCATTTAATTTCAGTTTCTGACAAAAAACACCCCTTGGGTAAAATGGATTTGCTTAACATCTGTGATGTTTGCTTACCAACCACGCAAAAAATATTAAGTCAGGAGCTACCTGTATTTTTAGGATCAGAACCCAACAGTCTCGTGTCCTTTGCTTTTTCGTTTTTGTTTTTACTGCATTTTGGATTAAAAGCATGGCTTGCAGGATCGTGGCAATTCAAGGCTAATACCTATAAAGGGCAACTATTTGAAAAGGCTGCAGCACAGAAAGTTCCAGATACAGCTAGTTCTCTCCTTATAACAGTTTGTTCAGCGATCATTCGAAGTTACATCGGCACTGAAAAAAGAGATTTATGACCGTTTTTCAGACTCATGATCAAAATTTGGACACTTGGCCACTGACTCATATTTACGATGGCTGCAGTGTCCCAGGATCATGTGATTCCCCCCTTTTGTAACCATCTGGCAAGCAAAGTCAAAGGGAAAACCAGATTGACTTAACAACCATTGTTAACAACTATGGCAAGAAAAGTCATAAAATGGGGGCCAACTTCCCTTAACAAATGTTTCACTGAACAACAGAAATTGTGGGTTCAGTTGTGGTTGTAAGTTGAGGATTACCTGCTCCATCATACCTCTGGCTTGCAAAAATCACATGTTGATAGTTTGCCTAATTTTGCCAATTCCTGGCATGTGAAGAATGTTAGGTTGAAATCTGATCAAGACGTCATTCGTTCCTAGCCACACTTCCTCCTCTTAGCCATCAGAGGGCACTTTTATAACAATAAATTAAGAAGAAGGACTGTAAAAAAGGAAAACTTTGTTTTTTGTTTTAATAAGAAAACCCATGTAATTCATATCCGGGATGTAAAGATAGAGAGGAAATTTAAAAAAAACAGTGAAAAGACACCCTCATCCCCAGATTTTTCTCAAGAAATTATTGGGTTTACCTCTTTGATTAACAGGATCTTTAGCAACGTAGGCGACATAATCTGTAGTATCCTAAAATACACGTAAAACAAAAGGAATAAGTCTTTTTTTTTAATATGAATATTATTTTATGTTTCTAAATTATCAGCTCACTTGACTGCTAGGTTTAAGTGATCAAAAAAAGGAGGTGTGTAAGAAGATAACAGAAAATTAAAACAAGATGACTGAGCTAATGGCATTTTCTAGTGATTTTTCCTTCTAAGCATAATTTTCCTCAATATTCTATCACTGAACCCTATTTCTAATATGACGAGATTCAGTCATGCCACCGGTTCTCTATTAGCACTCATTCACAATTGTTTTTTACTTCCAACAATGTTCTTAAATTGAAACTTCTATACTTACTGGATCCCCCCCAGAGGCAAATGAAATGGACTGCATATGATGGTTTGCAATAATCTGAGAAGAGAAAAAAATAGGTGGTGACTGTGTACAGCTCATCCAGAAACGATTGGTAAATTTTCTCTGCAAAGCTCATATTGACAATTCGTAAATTCGGCATACAGACCAATGGAGACAGTCAGGTAGAAGCACCCAAAAGCAGATAAGAAAGCCCACCTGCTTAGAACAGGTAAATTCCCTCTAACAGTCGTATCCCCAGCTTCTGGATGTCATACAAAACCCCAATGTGCACCCTGAAAGATCCCACAGAGATGCACACAATCCCTTGCCAAAGGGCCTGCTTGGTGTCCTGCAGTGGTTCCCAACCTTTTCTATACCCTGCACCCCTAAAACGCTTCTGGTATATTCTCGCACCCCTTACAAAAGTTCAAAATGAACTATGCACATACACTATAATTCTGAAACTTCTAAACCCAAGTTTTTGCACCCCCTGGAACATCGTCTCGCACCCCCAGGTTGGGAACCCCTGGTGTAGTGGTTAAGGCACTGGATGAGAAATTGGGAGACTGTGAATTCTAGTGTTATCTGAAGCACAAAGCCAGCTGGCTGACCATGGGCCAGCCAGTCTCTCTCAGCCCTAGAAAGCAGGTAATGGCAATCACTGCTGGAAAAGCCTTGCCCCAAAACTGCAGGGACCAGTTCAGACAGTCACCAAGATTGAATCAACATTGACTCAAGGATACTTTATGAAAAATAATAACAAGTCACTTGGTTACAGTATGGCTAACAGATGGAATTCAAAAGCAAAATATTTAATGACAAAACGTTAGATCTGCAGCCTTTGCTGCTCGGATCAGAGCCTCAAGGACCAGCCCTACCTGCTGGCTGTCGGTGTTCAATAAAGTCAGACTGGTTGTTGAGATGGTCAGTTTTATATGCGTGCCAGAAAACTGAAGATTGCTTTTGCCAAGCACAGGAGAAAGAAATTTAGCTGGAGGCTGTAAAGACAAGCAGAGGGTTGATTTCTTATTTCACCTATCCATGGTTTCATTTGCAGATGTTTGTTACAAGGTTCCTGCCAGGAATGTCGTGGGGCACCTGAGGAATTCTGGGAGTTGAAGTCCACAAGTCATAAAAGGGCCATGTTTGAAGACCCCTGCCCTAAGTGGGCCATGCTAGAGAATCCAGAGATATTTGCAAGGTTTCTCATTAGACTGAAAATGGTACTCCATGCTAATGGGACAATACTCGTTAATTTCCATTAAATAATAAAAATAATAATAACAACGATGATGATGATGTTGGAAGGGATCTTGGAGGTCATCTAGTCCAACCCCCTGCTCAGGCAGGAAACCCTATACCATTTCAGAGAAATGGCTGTCCAGTCTCTTCTTCAAAACCTCCAGTGTTGGAGCATTCACCGCTTCTGGAAGCAGGTGTTCCACTGGTTAATTGTTCTAAGTGTCAGGAAGTTTCTCCTTAGTTCCAAGTTGCTTCTCTCCTTGATTAGTTTCCATCCGTTGCTTCTTCTCCTGCCTTCGGGTGCTTTGGAGAATAGCTTGACTCTCTCTTCTTTGGGGCAGCCCCTGAGATATTGGAACACTGCTATCATGTCCCCCCTCGTCCTTCTCTTCATTAGACTAGACATACCCAATTCCAGCAACCGTTCCTTATAGGTTTTAGCCTCCAGTCCCCTGATCATCTTTGTTGCTCTTCCCTGTACGAATATGAGGGTTATATGAGGGTTCCCTAAGACATGTAGATATATTTTGCATGTGCTGATGGTTCAAGTAAAAGGTAAACCTCTTAAGGCCCAGAGGGAGTTCTTTCCTTCAAAGAAGCTAGTTGGCCATCAAAGATAGATTTACCTTCCGTTTTTTTGTGTTCCCGTGTATTCCTGGCACAGCTTCACACAGACGACTTATTGCTTCCCTGAAAAAAAAATGGAAAAGGATTTACATCAAAAAATGGGGGGGGGAGAGAAACCATCAATTAAGGATCCACACAGCATTCAATAGAACATTCTTCCAAATGTGCCCCACAGTCATCCTGGGAGGTGGCTTTGGATGAGCAAGAAAGAGAAGCCCAGGGTTTGTTATCAACTATCTATCTACCATCTATTTATCTGCAATCTATCCCTCCCTCCATCCCTCCATCCCCATCCATCCACCCACCCATCCATCCCTACCCATCAATCCATCCCCATCCACTCACCCACCCATCCATCCATCCATTTCTTTCTCTTTCTTTCTTTCTTTCTTTCTTTCTTTCTTTCTTTCTACCATTTATTTATCTGCAATCTATCCCTCCATCCATACCTACCCATCCATCCCCACCCACCCACCTACCTATCCATCCCTATCTGTCTGTCTGTCTATCTATCTATCTATCTATCTATCTATCTATCTATCTATCTGCAATCTATCCCTCCCTCCATCTCTACCCATCCATCCCTACCCATCCACCCCATCAATCCATACCCACCCACCCACCTATCTACCTATCTATCTATCTATCTATCTATCTATCTATCTATCTATCTATCTATCTATCTATCTCTATATCTAGAGTAGATGACTAGATGACTTCCAAGGTCCCTTCCAACTTTATTATTATTACTGTAATTACTATCATCATCATCATCTATCCATCCATCCATCTTTGGTTTTGTAAAGGTATGTGGGATGCCCTTGGAAGACAGGAGAAGAGGTGGAGAATGGACAAATGAGAGTTGAGTCTGAAGGAGAAGGGATGATGAAAGGGTCTCATCCTCCTTCCTTCTGGGCAATGTCAACATGAAGGGAGGGGCACTTTCAGAATTGTAAGTTCCTATTGATGTAAATCTCAGAATAACAATAGAGCTAGCACTCCAGCACTCCTTATCTGGATGACCTCACCCGGCTAATAGGTTTAAACACTGAATATATTTTCCTACTGCTTTAAAAAACAGGATTATATCCTTGCTTTTTTACTGATGCAATTATATGGATTTTATTATTACAGGGCCGCATCTCTCGAGTGCTCTTAGGAAAATAGCAGGATGTAAATAAATGCATTCATTGCGATGGAGTTCAGCTTCACTCCCATCCCATAAACAGCTAATGAGAGAAAAAAGCCTTGCCAGATTCTTCAGCAATTAAATTGGCCTTTATTAAGGTTTTTTTTAAAAAAAAAAAAAAAAACCCTCATAAAACCCATCCAGGAGCCCAGTAGCGAATGGAAGAGAGAGGCTGAATGAAAAAGAGGAGAGCGCACAGGCAACTAACATTTGGCAAAGGATGAATGCTTAGTTGCTTCGTCCAAAGCCCACTGGGTAGAATGAGTAACCCCATGACAAGGATTCTCATTCTTGAGAGGACAAAAATATCAGAAGTTTGGGAACTGCTATCCCGCTCAGTAATTTTCCACTCTGTGCAGGGTTGAAGAAATGGCTCCCAAATGGTTCTTGCTATTGCTTTTCCAATAGAACATTGCTTGCTAAACACTGAAGAATCTTTGTTGCTGTTGTGTTGTTGTTCAGTCACTAAGCCGTGCCCAACTGTTTGTGACCCCATGGACCAGAGGACACGGGCCACCTTATCCTCCACTGTCTCCTGGAGTTTGCCCAAACTGCATCAATAACGCTATCTAACCCTCCCATCCTCTGCCGTCCCCTTCTCCTTTCGCCTTCCATCTTTCCCAACATCAGGGGGTTTTCCAAGGAGTCCTCCCTTCTCGTTTTGTGACCAAAATATTTGAGTTTCAGCTTCAGTATCTGTCCTTCCAAGGAGTGGTCAAGGGTTGGTTTCCTTCAGGATTGATTGATTTGATCTCCCTGCAGTCCAAGGGATCCTCAAGCGTCTTCTCCAACATTCAAAAGCATCAAAGAATCTTTAACCAACTCATGATCTGTTGGATAGATGGAACTCATACACTGTATTAAATTAAAGATAGTGTCATTCAATAGACAACTATTAGGTGGATTCACCCAATGTGTAAAAGAATTAAGCATGGGTTACAAATTATACTGGTGGGAAACATACAACAGGTTAAGCAACCACTAAAAACTCCCACTCCCAAGTTCAACAGTGCAGGATGGTTTCCAGAGAGAAATAAAATAAAAATCAAGATGGCGGCTGTGACTACATGGTTAAAGTCTAACCACTTTCTTGCATGGGACACATGCAAAATGAGGGCAGGGCTTCAATGTTGCGGCTGCCATTTTGATTTTCTGGAATCTCTACTGTGGAAACACCAGATCCAATGCATAAATGTCACCAGTTTGTCGTCTGCCATTTGTTTTCAAAAATGATCTGAATAGTATACAGGTTTGTGGTGAAGTTTATAACATTTCTGGTTGCCAAAATAAATAAATATTACAACTATGAACAATGGCCAATGAGATTTCAGAATCCAGAAGGTTTCCTAAATAAGAAACAGAAGAGACCAGATCATGCATGAGATCCAAACTCTATGAACAGCAATAATAACAAAAGCAATAGCCATGTTATGACACACTATCTAACTTGGATTTGACAGGTAGCTTTCTCTAGCAGGAAATTTGAGTCAGCAGCATTTTTTCTGATTTTTTTTTAAAATGGAAATCAAAAGGCAGCAGAGATGCATACCAAACTTCCCAGAAAAAAGTTCATTCAATATCGTACGCTGCGTGCGTCCATTTTACTTTGCCATGTTTGAAGCCACCTGTCATTCCTAAATTGTGACACCACACACCAATATTTTGCTAAAACAAACAAATGGAACAGGACACTTCACCTCAAAACGAGCAAGTTCTCCAACTTATGTAGACTGTATGTTGAAATGTAAGATGCCTGTTGCTTTTTGTTAAACTCTCTAGAACAGGTGATCTCCAAGCTTGGCAACTGTAAGACTTGTGGACTTTAACTCCCAGAATTGCTCAGCATATCTGGCTGAGGAATTCTAGGAGTTGAAGACCACAAGTCTTAAAAGTTGCCAAGGTTGGAGAACTCTGCTTCAGAAGATACCAGGCTGGGGAAAAGAATTCTAGTCTGCATTTGAGAAACTGGTACCTTTTTGGTCCCAAAACACCAAGAACCCATTGGACACCTCTTGGGTGTCAAGGAATTTCTGCTCCCACAGTGCCTCCCCCCTCCCTCCAGGATTGTGTGCCTCCAGACAGTGGAGAGTCTAGCTTTGTTCACTGGTGGAGAAGCAACTCAGCAACAACACTGCATTACTTTGTTTATTGTTTTGCCAAATTCAGCTGAGAGCAAAGAACGTGGGCTGATGTCAAGGAGTAAGAATGCTCTTGAAGTTGAGCTTTTAAGCATCAGAGGTCTTGTCTTTTACCACAGAACAGAAAGGGATTGTATGGCAGTAACAAAGTTGAATGTTTATAGCCATTGAGACAAAGCTGTCTGGCTGAATTGGTTCTGCAATTTGCCTCCTATTTCAAGTCATCTTCTCTGACCATTTCCAAGATTTAGACCTGGGTTCATACATCATATCAAGCCAAGATTGGGGTCACTCATCAAGCGATTTTGCCACGAGGATTGGCTTTGTGCGAACCTGGGCACTGTGGTTTGAACACAACCAAAGGATGAATCAACAACTATTAGTTAAAAAGTCTTCTGTATGCATTCTGTACACCCAACCTATGTGTGTAGTTTAGCAAGTGTTTGGAACTTAGCCATTTTGGCATGAAACCAATGTTTTATGGCTTAATGAGTGGTCTAATTCCAGCTTAGTTTGCGTTGTCTTCAATCCCATATTGAAAGTTCATGCAAAGTTATAAAATCATGAGTAAAAATTGCAGGGTTACCATATAGCTCATTATGGTTCCACATGATGTTTGAATCCAGTCTTAATATAATATTCCCAAGATTCTCATTTGACCACAGAGGACCCCCCCACCAAACAGTCATAGGATATTTACTGCAGAACCAAGGCTAACTGTTTAATATAATCTCACAGAATAGAATGCAGTCATCTAACTCCAGAAAAGACAGGTTGCTTATTAATGCTTGTATCTCGGGCAAAACCCAAGCACGTGGGTTTATGTTTTGATTGTTCTGGCTCCCTTTTGGAAATGTGTAAATTAAAACCTAAGAAAAATGTTTTTAAAATGGGGAAAGTAGGTTGCAGCAATTTCATACTAGCTTGCTTCTCCGTGTTGCAGTTGCAGGTGCTATTAACAAAAGTCTCCTAACAAATATGGAACAGTTGAATGTTCCCTCCATGAAAACAAGTCTATGTTCTTCTGAGGAACATGGAGTAAGTCCACCATTATTCTTCCTCTTTTACAAAAATTCTGACTGGAGAGTTGCTCTCTCAGATACCTACGGGTGAACTCGCTTGCAGCAATGACATAACTTATTCCATACATCATGCTTGGCTACCCAACTATTACACGCTGGGAACTGTGGCTTATGCTTTAACACAAGGCATGTACCTAGCCACAATGATTTATAATAACTGTTATAGCCTAACAGGTTATACAAACACAGCCAATCCCATGGCTTAGTCTGATCTGTGAAGCCCTCCGATTCATTCATGAAGTGGTTGTCCGTGATACAGTTGTATTATGACTACAAACACAGGCCTTGCTGGCATGGTTATATGATATAGGCAATGGGACATGGGCTCCAACGACATCTAGAGGGTTACATCTTCTAGATTAGGGGTCTGCAACTTTGTCATCTTTAAGACTTGTGGACTTCAGCTCCCAGAATTCCTCAGCCAGCATAGGGAGCTGAAGTCCACAAGTCTTAAAGATGACAAGGTTTAGGACAAGATCCCTGCTCTAGATGCCTTCCATCCCAAAAAATATGCTATCCGATTCAATGTCTTCAGGAGATTGGATGAAAAAGCCATTCAACTACATCTTCCAAGGTCCAAACAGAAAGTATTCCGGTGTACGTTCCGATATCCTGTTAAACAAGTGGTACATGTAGGAGGAAGACAGACAGAGATGGGGGTGGAGTCAAGAGAGGAATCAGCCTAGAGTCTTTACATTCCCACAAATGTCTAAGTCCAATCCCTCTTGAATTCCACCGACCTTTATCTAGTGCCAATTTAGTGCTGACCATTAGTTGACTAGATTCTTATGCATAGGCATGAGCAATGAATGAGCTCAACTTAATGTAGGGTATCGATTCTTTGCACCTGACAGCCCAAATACCTTTGGATAGGGCACTTCCTTTGCCACATAGGAGCAAATGTATAGCTAAGGAAAATGGGGGTGGGTGATGGTGAAGAGATGCATTTCTTTTGTATTTTGAGACAGGTGAGACCGTGCCCAGTTATTAAAAGAAGCTTTTGCATTAAAACTGAAACTCAAGCAAGATAGTTGAAAAGGAATTGTTAAAAGTTTGCGCTGTTTAAAGCTCCTGCGTACGCCATTTTAATGCAGCCTTAATGGAACGCTCTATCTCAGAGACAGAAGCATTTGATAGATACAGTTAGCTCGGGCATATCATTAAGTGGTTTTAAACAGTGAAATACCGAACACTTAAATAAACATGACACATTCTTCTGCATAGCGTTAAAATCCCGCAATTCTGGGAAGCAAAAACAAATTGCTGCTTGTGCATTAAGACTTAACGCCGCATAATTTAGAATGCTTCTAATGCCATCTTCCACACACACAGCACAGTATAGCACAGGTGTAAATATTCCTTTGACAAGGACTACACAAACCCTCAGTTGAAGGCCATAAGATGGAGAGGGTTCAAGAAAACACCCTGTTACCAAATTGTAGCTGTTAACTTGACAAAAGGGGAGAAAATAAAGATTTGACCGAAGAATGACTACGTTGACCACATTTAATTCTAAAGGGAATCAAATCAAAGGAATCCACCTTTAATCTTTTTATTTGTTTCTATCCTTTACTTTCTAAAGTATCTCCCTCAAGCTTTCAGGATAGCCCATTGCATATCTGAGTTTTGGTTTAATGTTGCACTGTTCTAGGTAACTTGGTTTATTCAGCAAATCATGGTTAAGACACACTATATAGCTGAGCAATGAAGCAACTCAGCCAACTGAATCATGCAGAAGATTCCACCCTAAAGACATGCCATGAAACACAACATGAAGCTTCGAACAACGCTGAGTGTAATAAGGAAACAACTTAGTCACACAGCTTCTGTAAAGCCTATAATGTCAAAAGTTCTCCTTGCAGTACTGTACATAATTCAAGATTATGTTCAAGAAAGTTCTCAAGATGAGATTTCAGCACAATATAGTTTTTGCTTAAATAGCCCTTGGGCAACTATGAGTTGTCTTGACTGCTTCCTGCTGTGGTTTTGGAATATTCATGTGGCAGACACGATATTAACAATGACCAGTATATTAGTGAAATAATTTCCAGCCTCGGGCTCTTTGCTGGCTGCCGAGTACAAGTCCGACATTAGGGGCACCAGAATACGATGCTTACTTAATGCCAACTATCAAATCCTAGTCTCCATCTTCCAGCAGTTCAGTCATTAGTAAGGAGATAAAACAGGGAACATTTTTAATCATGCTAGGCTGATTTTAAATCTTATGCAAAGAATATTTCAGAGTTTTTGTATAACAGCAAAGCCAGCCAAATGGCCTTGTGTTCATCAAAATTTTAGCTTTAAACCAACTCTACCTACAGACAGGTAATCATGGACTTACAACTGTAGTTGAGCCTAATGTTAGGGTTGGTTCTGCGTCATCCCCATGGATGAGAACTTAGGCTTACAACCACTGGAGTGAATACTATTGTCAGCAGTGTTTCACTAATTGCTTGTAATTTGTTGGGCAACTTTAAAGCTAGATTTATTTTTATTTTTTTTGCGGGGTGGTGGTGGATATATATGCAGTTAAAATGTACCCCATGCAACAAACATACTGTTCATTGAAGCTTCCGTCTTCAATAGTTATTCTACATATCTGTCCTGCTTCAGATAACTGGGTAATGCATTTATTTTGCTAACTATTAGATATTAGCCTGAACTGAGATAAAGACAGGGATACTGTTTTATTTATATTATTTTGTTGTGCTATTGATAAATTAAAAATTAGTTCCTGCAAGCTGCTTTTTTCAGCCCGAGAGCAGTTTAATAAAATATGAGATGCAGTTATAATTAAACCAACATGTTTTATGTAAAATGAAAGCATTTGATTACATTCTTAACAGGAATTTTTTTTTTTTATGTTGTATTAGACTTATACAGAACACAGATGGGGCTAAATTTGTGAACGTCCTAAGAAAAGGAAATTTTTAAATTAGAAAAACATTGAAAAACAGATAAGGCTTATTCATAATACTCTATACAGAATGCATTACAATACAATAGAAGATTATCCAGGGAGAAAGTCAGCGGAGAACTGGAGGAAATTTTTATTCCTTTATGTAAGTATTTAGATTTATTTACCTACATATAACTCCCAACTTTTCATTAACAATTCAATCCCCAAGCAGGGATATAACAATTAAAAGCAATGTATAATTAATATAATTTTAGAAAAAAGAAAATATAGCTGCTGCTTTAAAACCCTTAACTGGCATAAAATCCTACAGAGGAAAAACATCCATTCAAAGTGATCAGTAGCAAAACTACATTGATTGACTGATGAACTGCAGCTCAAAGCAGAACAAAGCCAAGAAAATCAATCCGTTTTAAATCAGGGGAATAAGAAGAAAATAAAGCATATTTCTGCCTGCATAGAAATAGAGGGAGTTTGATGCTGTAACTTACCTGGTTACCTGCGTCCGAGTGCCAAAATCCAAAGACCTCATTGATTGGAGCACCTCAATGCAGCCCATATACTAAATATTGAGAGAAAGAGAGAGAGAGAGAGAGAGAGAGAGTTGAAACAGTGGAAAAACAGAATGATTGGAAGACCTTGCTCTTTAAAATGGTAGTTGATACTTCAACCTGTTCACTGGTAGTACTTCCTGATTTTTTTTAAAGCTTTATTTTCACAAATGGACAAGATTCCACCTAGTCCTAAACTGAGAAAACTGGGGTTCAAATCATGAAACCGGGAAGAACTGTATTCCTTTCTTTCTCGATGGAATATCCAAACTCTAAACCCTTCCAAGAATACTGGGACAATCTCCCATGTATAAGATGTTTAATTTGGACAACACATTATTTATTTACCCAAATTGATGCACCACCTACCTCCTGAGACGCCATGTGATTTACAGTAACATAGATAAAACATACTTCCACCATACAAATGCGATATGAAAGTAGAAATACAGAGCAATAAATAAGCTGCATTTAAAGATGATGGACCATAAAATCTTGTCCAATAATTAAAAAAAAAAAAATCTGCCTCCCAGTGCTCATTTAAACCATAGAGCAGTGATTGTCAATCTTGAGAATTTTAAGATGTGTGGATTTTCAACTCTGGCCGGCTGGGGAATGCTGGTATTTGAAGTCCACACATCTTAAAGTTGCAGAGGTTGAGATACATTCCTCACAGCCCTGGAATGAATTACTGAGAACGATAGCAGAGGCATTTTTCTGGGGTAAAAGAGTTCAATGACAAAGAAGCCATAAATTGGCCAGTAACTGGATCCACATGACATACCAAGGCACACATTGAAGAAATATATTTTCGTCTGTCCTGTGTGATTACATGTAAAGTCCTTTTTATTTTCTCTCTCCTACGAGACTGTGGGTGAAGGACTTTGAGTAACCATTCTGAGGACTTATGGTAGCGGTAGCTGTTTCCTAATAATGTAAAGGCTACAATATACCGTATTTTCCGGCGTATAAGACGACGGGGCATATAAGACGACCCCCGACTTTTGAGAAGATTTTCATGGTTTAGAAAGTCGTCTTATATGCCGGAAAATATGGTAATAGTAATTGGCACTTCTGGTAGCATGAAGGAATAAGAATAATTTGAGGAGAGAAAGATGGAAGATGATAATATATGGATAATCATCTATAATCATCTATATATCATTTATATGATAATATATCATATATTACCATCTACTGGAAGATGATAATGTATTTTATTTAATGGCCAACGCTGTAGTTACCATAACTCTCGGCCATTAGTAGTCAGTTACAAGAAGGAAAAAGATAATGGCCTGAAGGTTTATGTATGTTGCAAATCAAGTCTTTGAAAATCCCCTTCAAGGTTAGATATCCATTAATCAGCATTTACGGTCTCTGCTCTGAAAAGCAAGGGTGTGCAGCGGTATTTTTTCAAGGCCTGTGGGCTTCGAAGCCTCCTCCCCCTCCCCTTAAGAACAGTAATCTTGCAAACCGGCTGGCTGCGGTTTTGCCACCCTTGATGAAGGCTAAAGATTCGGAGGAGTAGGTGAGTCACAGGCTGAGATCATATGACTGTGAGTAAGCTTCCCTCAACATATGCGTGGGAGGCTGAATTGAGCAAAGCCTTGTGGGGGAGGGGAAGGGAAAGTAGGGGGAGAGAGGAGAGAAACCATTACTAAGGGGTTGCTATCAATGGTCCTTATCAGACATTCTGTAAAGGCCATATTTACATAAACGGAGGAGAAAGGAAAAGGTAGGAACAAGGTGTTTCAAAAGAGATAGTCAAGTGACTTCAGCATTTTGGACAATTGAGGGGTCTCAATTGTCTAGGAAATGAGAAGATAAAGGTAAAGTCATGTATAGGCCACACCAGTTTTGATCACCACAATGTAAAAAAGATGTTGAGACTCTAGAAAGAGTGCAGAGAAGAGCAACAAAGATGATCAGGGGACTGGAGGCTAAAACATATAAGGAACAGTTGCTGGAATTGGGTATGTCTAGTTTAATGAAGAGAAGGATGAGGGGGGACATGATAGCAGTATTCCAGTATCTCAGGGGCTGCCACAAAGAAGAGGGAGTCAAGCTATTTTCCAAAGCACCTGAAGGCAGGACAAGAAGCAATGGATGGAAACTCATCAAGGAGAGAAGCAACCTAGAACTAAGGAGAAACTTCCTGACAGTTAGAACAATTAACCAGTGGAACAACCTGCCTCCAGAAGCGGTGAATGCTCCAACACTGGAAGTTTTTAAGAAGAGACCGGACAGCCATTTGTCCAAAATGGTATACGGTTTCCTGCCTGAGCAGGGGGCTGGACTAGATGACCTCCAAGATCCCTTCCAGCTTTATTATTATTAACTCTAGGACATGGTGCTGGTCTCTGTTTCTCAGACGAGGGAGCCAGCATTGTTTGAAGACATTTTCCGTGATCACGAGGCCAGCAGGGCTATACACCAAAGGCACACAGAATGCTCTTAGTTTCCCACCAAAGCAGGTAGGCCTTGACTTACAACAGTTCATTTAGTGATGGTCCAAAGTTACAACGACACTGAAAAAAGTGACTTATGAACCATTGTTCACACACTGATGACCCTTGCGGCATCTCCGTAGTCACATAATTTCCATTGGGATGCTTGACAACAGACTCACATTTAGGACGGTTGCAGTGTCCCCCGGGATCATGTGATCCCCTTTTGCGACCTTCTGACAAGCAAAGTCAATGGGGGAAGAAGCTGGATTCTCTTAACAACCGTGTTACTAATTTCAGAACTGCAGTGATTCACTTCAACAAGTGAAGTGGCAAGGAAAATCGTAAAATGGGGCAAAACTCAGTTAACCAATTTCTCACAACATAAATTTTGGGCTCAACTGTGGTCGTATGTTGAGGGCTACCTGTTATTAATCTACCTGCATTTCCTGCTTTCAACTACTCCCACCCTGTTCGAACTACTGTTCGAACTACTGTTCGAACTACTCCCTGTTCGAACTACTCCCACCCTGCCGGCCTTTAAGAAAGCCGTTAAAACTCTCCTGTTCCGGCAGGCCTGGGGCTGATGTCCCCGGGGGGCCAGGATATGATCGGACTTGCGGTATGACTGTTTTATTTTATTGTTTTATCATTGTTTTAACTTTGTACGCCGCCCTGAGTCCTTTGGGATTGGGCGGCATATAAATATTTGAAAATAAATAAATAAATAAATAAACCTGCAAGGTGGGCAGGAGCTGGGGCAAGGAACAGGAGCTCGCCCGATTCCTTGGTGCTCAGTTCTCGAACCTGGGCTGTCAGCTCTCCAGCTGATGAGCTCAGCATCTTTAACCACTGAGTCATCACACACACCCCTCTAAAAAAATGAGCATCTAGTCCAATGACCTTCTAGCCTAACCAATTAACATCTAGTTCAGGGTTAGGCAACCTTGGCTCTTTTATGACTCATGGACTTCAACCCCCAGAATTCCTGAGCCAGCCATTCTGGGAGTTGGTCCATGAGTCATAAAAGAGCCAAGGTTGCCTACCCCTGATCCAGTTTAACAAAGAGAAGGGCTAGGGGTGACATGATGGCTGTCTTCCAGTACACAGAAAAGTTGGGAGTCGACTTATTCTCCAATAATTTTTTGGGCAGGACCAAAAATAACATGTGGAAGATTATTAAAAAGAGATCCAACCTCAGAAATAAAGAGAAATTTCCTGACAGAACAATTAATCAGTGGAACGACTTGCCTCCAGAAGTTGTGGGTGCTCCATCACTGGAGGTTTTTAAGAAGAAATTGGACAACCATTTGTCTGGAATGGTGTAGGTTCTCCTGCTTGAACAGGGGGCTGGACTAGACAAGCTCTAAGGTCCCTTCCTAAAACTAAGGAGAAATGTCTTGACAGCGAAAACAATCAGTTGGAACAGCTTGCCTCCAGAAGTTGTAGGTGCTCCATCACTGGACATTTTCAAGAAGAGATTGGACGGCAGTTTGTCAAGCCCGGAGGGGATAAACTCTTTTTGGGGGGTCCTCAGGACTTTTATTCTGCTTCCTAAATTGCCCCTCCTTCAGACTTGGAGAAAAAGAAACTCAACGCTATGGTTACAGTGTGTTCACTGCGAAATGACAAAGGAAGAACTTCAGGATGTTGAGTTTCCTTGGGTAATAAAATCTCTCCGGGGAACTATTAACAGTTCCCACAGCTGTTCAGCAGGCTGGTTGCTTAGTCAGAGAGCTGGGTTCTCAACACAACTGCCAGTCCTTTGCGCAGAGGTCAAGTCTCATGACTCACTGAGAGTAATTACAAAGGAAGTGGATGGAGCAGCTAACCTCCCCCCTTCTTCCCCTCCGAGAAGACTCAGATCTGCCAAGGTCTCTCAGGAAATACTAGCCTCTGGTCCTACTGCCTCCCCAACTCTCCGGCTCCAATGTTATAATTCAACGTTTGCATCCAGCACAGTCGAGCAAATCAGCAGGGAGAAGCAAAAAGCCATCTTTTTGCTTCCTGAATCAGAGATGAGTCCAAGGAGCTCTGAGTCATAGAAGTTTGTTGGATGCCCATGAGGGGGTCATCAATGGGGCGGGAAAGCTTTTATTTATGCAGTCTTCGTGACAAGGCCACAGCAGATGCTTCGAAATGCTGTTTCTTAGCGAAGTAACATGGGCAGGGGTAGGAGGTGGGAAATACAAGCAAATAGGTCTGTGGAAGTGTAGGAGATGACCAACATGAGCCCGAGGGAGGGATCAAACATGGCATCAGTCTTGAGTCACCTCAAGCCCATAGAGATCTAAGTCCAGCCCACCTTGAATTCCATTGACTCTATGGATATGCCAAGACAGTATAGAAGAAACCATGGAAGAGGAGGAGGCCAAGGTGGAGGGGTGGGTGATGTAGGAGATGACCAAAATGAGCCCGAGAGAGGGATCAAACATATCATCAATCTTGAGTTCCTTCAAGCCCACAAGAGACCTAAGTTCAGCCCACCTTGAATTCCATCGACTCTGTCAGCAGATGCCAAGACAACACAGAAGGACCCATGGAAGAGGAGAGAGGCCAAGATG